TCTACAGTAATTGATCTGGCCAGAGAATCAGAGTGATGAAGCGAATAAAAGCGAACGAAGCGAAAGATCATGCGCAATGGAGATTGGCTGGGAAGCCAACTCGATTTAAGCAAGCGTTAATCAATATTTATAGTTGGACAAAAATGAATGACAGACATATGATGAATAAGATACGAAGTGTACAAACATATACGCTCATATAAAAATATAGTCAAGGTTTATAAGCAAATGATTAACAAGATCAAAAGATGACTCAACGGAAAGGTGAATTGGCTTGGCCAGCAACTAGAATAAAGTATATGGGCTCAATATATAAACTGATACTACAGTATTTGTGATGCCGTAAACTGACTCCATGATGATTGTTATTGAAATACACATTCCGGTTACCCTCTTACATAGATGTCGACTTAATTAACATGGGAAAAAACGGGATAAAATAGATCAAATACAAGAATGGGTTTTAGATCAATATGTTTCGTACTCTCACTGAACAGAGAAATGATGCGGTGGATGTTGGAAAATGAAGCGACTCGCAGCGGAGTGAACGAGTGAACCAATTAAATCTGATCAAGTTTGACTCAATTTTTAGTCAGATCAAAAATAATGTGGGAGCGATGAAATTTCATTGAGGCCTAGCCAAATCATCCGGCACTTGGGTTATTGAATGTGTTGAACGTATCATCGACCCCTGTCAAATTCAAGGACAACAAATGCACATCAGTTAGTCGTACGCCATAAAGTGGCCAATGCAGCAGTGGTTTTACTCTCACTTGCATCTACCTTAACTATTATATTTCTGTAATAGCGTTCTTTGTGTTGTACAGTCTTCAGAGCATCCATAGTCCCTTGATATGTTGATGGGGCAATTCACGTAAAGTGATGACCACAAGGTATAATTTCGACGTTAGCTGTTGGTCACACCATTCCCATTTAAATTTAGTAGGCCCCCAATAATTCGACAAAGATCACCATCGTTGATGGTCTACAATAAGTTACAGACACGTGATGAATGAGGTAAGCAATGAGCATACATGTGATCAAAAAACAACCGTCAGGGTTGATAAGTTAATGTGACAAGGTCAAAACAAGGCTTGAGAGAACTACATATACTGATCTGTTTAGAAGTTAGAATAACCTATGTGGGCATGATATAGTACCACCCACTACAAAGTCAATAAAATTATGTCCAGAACAATAAGTGTCTGACGCCTGGGATGCTACTTCTTTCTGAAGTCTAATAGATCTTAACAACATGCTTGGTCTCAGAAGTTTAGGAGGTGAGATTGAGAAGCAATCGCATGGGATTAGGTAACCGGACTATTTCAGATAGCCTTTCAACCCTATAAACTCATGGTTTCACAAACCACTAGGCTGAAGCTAAGAGCCTTACTACATTTTGCTGAGACATATTCTACTCAAGCTGCTAAGTTTCAAATGATTTGACTATGTGTAGATTCTAAAGAAGCACCCACGACAACAACAGGGAGTTACATACTGCTCAAACATAATTGAAATAACATCCATAGAGGACTGAAACCAGTTATTACCAATGAACCAAATAAATTGATTAGTTCATCAGCGACCAGGTAAAAGTGGTTTTGCACGATTACAGTTCAGAAATAAATAGAGTAAGTTTATTCTCCAAAACCTAATTGTCCAGAATGGCCACATAAATACCTGGAAGCATTACCCAAACAGGCGTATCAATAGTCAAAAACCCTAAAGATATTATCAACACAAACGTTTTTATAAAGTTTCTTATTGCTTCATGTTCCATACATAAAAAACCCAGGCAATCATTTAATGTTCATTAGTAAGTAGATGCCACTTCAACCCCACTGTTTTGAACCTAGCACTAATCTTGGGATAATTATGATTTCGTGGACATGTGATATAAAGAGATAACTTCATTTTATATTTCAACCCTTGAAGACTGGTTTGGTGTATATTCTCCAGCCTTGTTTTGAAATTCCAATGTATACAAGCGTGAGCTCCATCTACAACTTATGTTCACTATCTTGTTTAAGTATGAATTAATGGTAACTTCACTGTACATCCTTGTACAGAAGAGAATATGCAACATCTCACCATTTCACAATCGCAAAATAATCTTTATCAGAAAGAATATATTTATAGTATCCATTCTTCCTATTTCTTAGAACACCATATGGCATTAATTTACTCACAAAGGAAACTGAAGCCTTCGTAAATTGTGCTGAAATTGCCACTGTAAACAAATGACGTTTCATGGGAATATGTAGTCAGTAGGACCTTTCATTCTACACGAAACACCCGTTCTACAACCATAGACAGATCTTTTCAGATAGTAACTGAAAATTTTGTCTTTCGCGTGAACACAGATGCTGTACCAGAACGCGAAACCCACCTTCCAAAATGCTCCGGTGGTGTCCCATATATACCCTTGTATAATCACACCCTCCATTGATGTATTAAAACATATGTTAAGCCAGTTTTAGAACAGCAGGTGAACGGTAATATCACACAAGTGAGATTTCTTTCGAGAGGGTAAGACTCAAAAGGAACAAAACAGTACAGTAGAACAAGAGTGACTGCCTACTTTTTTGACAAGTATTCCAGTCACCTACTACAAGATCTTGGTTACATTGGCTTGGTTAATCGCAAGTCGTTGTACTATTTAGATAACACTTCGTCAGGAGAAACTGGAAATTTTGACCGTACATTGCAACTCACTCGGCATACACTTCGGAAAAGCAGTACAAAAGTAGAAACGAATGAGTTATTAAAAGAGTAATTGTGTTTAATCAATCAAACCAATTAATACTTATCATGCAGAATTTATACGTTTGACTCAAAACTACACGTAGTCTATTATCTTATGTTATATCTGGAACTTAGAATTTTGCTATACCGCGTACAACTTGAGCACTCGAACTTTAAAACCCTCCAAGTCGCAAGTTAGAAGACAAAAGACTAGTGGACAGAAATATTATTCCAAGTAATGTCAAATATTGTACAAAGCATTCAGGTATTTAAAGTCTTTAAGAAAAACGAAATCATCGTTATAACCGTCCAATCTGCATGCAGTGGTTTTCAGTATTTGTCCTATTGGGAAGCTACACATCGATATTCTGGAATGTTTTTCCAAACGATGATTGGATGGAATGTCTTCGACCCCTTTAGAGATTCCTTGAGTTTACCGAGAGCCATTCACACAACTCACAAATAAGTGGCCAGTACGGCAAAGCTCGAAGTAACGAAAGCCGAAAAATAATCGACATATACTGTAGAGTAACTATAATAATAATAATCTACCCACGGTTAGTACTAATCCATCTTATCCCATTTCTTTCCATTCAAACAGCAACATGAAAACTAATTATTTTACTGGCGCTCAATCATCTGTTACTAGTAAAAGTAGCAAAGTTTGAGATCATGACATTAATCTACGTAGTAGTAGCATTAAATGTCACTGACTTACATTACCAACCAAGAGAATGAAATATCATCAGTCCGACTAATAAGCACTAACTACACCCGAATCCATACCCTTTACCTTTTCTAAGAGAGCAGATATATATTGGCTACGTACTACAGACCCATAGGATAGAGAAGACCGCAAAAAACTTTAATTATTCGGTCATTATTATTGATTACTTAGTATTATGTTGTCGTTCAATAAAATAAAAGGCTATAAGCATATGACAAGAACCATCAAAATAAAATGTTCCGCTCCAGTTAGTTTTCTTGCTCTGTCCATATCCACAAAATGAAATAAATGTATGTATGATTGTATTGAACAGGTAAAATGTACAAGGTAACAGAATCTTCTATAAATAATCCAAAGTGATTTCTCGTTTTTTACTTAAAAGAAATGCCTGTCTAAACGATTACATGAATGAAAAAAACTTTAAAACAAGCAAAAAAAATCACTTAACAATTCTCACTATGCACTCGATCATAATGACAACCCTCATTTCATCAATCTCCACAACAAAATATATAAATAATTAGCATCCATGTATGCGTGACCGAAATCTTATATATGAAATACCCTTAGTTTGTATACAGAAATCAGAAAAAAATGTACTTAAAGAACCAAATAAAGAATATTAACCACTGTCGAAGTCGATCTATCTTACATACTAAATGAATATACGATACTAGGAACAAATTACCAGTCCGCTGATTTTTAACACCTGAAAGCAGTGGGGTTGATATATAATCTCCAACTTTCGAGGGTCACAGTCCAGAATCTCTGGTACTGTCCGCATTAAGGTCAAACTGACTTCTCTAAGATCTAGAATAAGCCTCCTATTTGTAGAAAATGGACGGCTAACTTACCATTTAAAACACGGTTAAGTAAAATGTTAAGTGACTGAACTGATATTCATTTGTATAGTATTATGATGAGGCTGTTTACTAGGTGTGCCGTACAAAGCTTTAGGTAACTTGTCTAATGTGCTACTTTATCAATCAATTTGAAAGAAAGAGTATGAGATTCGAAAACGTTATTTTTAGATACTAATGAACAAAAATTACATTTTATGCTCTTCAGTTACGTAAAAGATGGAGAAATCAAGTCTTAGTAGGAAAATTCATTAGATAAGCAGAAAAATTAATTGATTATTCAGTTGTTGCATATACATTTATTGACAATGACTTCGTAAAAGGGTTAATAAAGTGGTTTACTCATATCAGCAATCTAATAATCAGAGACCACATTTAACAGAAGAAAGGAATCAACGGTATATAGGGTGTGTAGGTCTGGAGGCTAAAAATTAGTTTAGTGTTGTGCAAAATAAATTACAATAATGGTATCACGAGTGACTTTTAGCGAAATGGACATGTTCATCAATCAGGAATTAGACGAATAGGTTTAAAAATTATCGCATAGACCTAAATACTTTTTAGAGAGAAAATAATACATGAATCGAGAAATCCAATGTACATTAACCAGCATTCCCCTACTCCTGTGTTGGTAAGCACATAATTCCCAAAAAGAATTCTTATTGATCTCATACCGTTTGAGTTGAATACATTTCATTAACAAAACAAAAACACTCACAATTAATAAAGGGGCATTGTCTAGGTAAATTATTTCTACCAACTGAGTTAAACCATGTGGAAACATGATGTACATGTCCACCATGACTGCACAATGGACAAACTAAAACAAGTCCTTTGCAGCTATTTCGGCATACAGTACAGATTAACAATCTTTGTGGTTTCTGAGGGCCTGTAGTAGATTGGTGATTCTCTAAATTCACCTCCCACTGACAATGTGTACACTGTGCAGACTTAAGAGATCCATTGGAGTGTTTGGGAACTAAGTTAGAACTGCATCGCATTTCTGGGCATGAAAGTAGAATCAAAGCATTTGTTTGAACGTAAGGCCATACATGGGATAATGAATTTGCACGGATATTGTACGACCAAGATCGAAGAAGACGAGCGTGTAAAATGTATTCGTGTAGAGAGTAAATAATGCTAGCGTAAACATAAATGTAGTGATCGAATGAAAACAAATCCTTTGGATGGACAAACCTAAAACATACAAGGATTACGTAAATAATAATTAAATATTCACTAGCTCCAAGATAAAATAATATCGAATTTCGCAGAAGCGAACTGTGTTTAGTAGAAATAAAAAGCCCTATCTCTAAACTTTGATGAATTTATCATGATAAAGTAAGCAACCTCAAAATTTCTAGATTGAAGAAACTCAGTAGTTATAATGTTGATTGCATTGGATTAAATCAAAAGGAATTTATGAACGGTCTAAAAAATAACTTATACTGATAAATATCACGAAATATAGGGCTGATGATGACAAACTTATAATACCACAGTATATAGACGGCATCATCAACGGAGTAGGTTGAGGATGCAATGATTTTGTTTACGTCTACGTGGATTTACTTTTGATCAAACAGATAACAATGGTAATAATAATAATTCAAGCAACATTTTTATCATCCTAATAATTATATGCTTTTCATAAATAATTATACGTGTCCTCGTTAATTATATTAGTCGAATTGTATATCTTCATGTATGAGCTGTATGTGTGTAAGTCTGTACGTAATTGCTTATCTGATACTCCAAATAACACACATTTACTGTTATTACTGTATGATTGCTTCTACGAATGCAGCAAATATATGTATCCTAAGTTCACTCGTTTTCCAGTTTGTAGCGTCGCGTAGTTATAAACGCGTTAAGTCTAAGAATATATCCGAAAAAACCCAACAGGTGGAAAATTCAAGAAGTGGTACCGATCTAGGAAGTCACTAGCTTTCATTTCGACTCCCCTGAAATTCTTGGTGATATCATCCCGCTTTACTGATGTGATAGCAAAGTTTAAGATCAATCCTAGATTTGATTTCTGATTGATTGCCGTTAAAATCACATGTACTCAAAAAGTCCAGGGGAAGGAGGAAATGAATCATGTCAAGTACCAAATCAATAGAAAAGTTCAATCCTTAAACACAAGATAAATTGATAGAAGATAATAATAACAATACATTAGATTATATGGCAAACTATGAAGAAGGAGTACATGATCTTAAATAGCAAGCATGATACCATTATGTTTAAACTAAGATAACAACCAACCTTGATTGATAAGCACAAATTGAATTGATCGATAATTCCTTTGGAGGAAGTTGTTCTATGGGACAACCGTTCATATTTTCGTTTGACTGGCCAAATACTAAACTGAATTCACTCTGTGTTTCATCAGAGTTATCTAAGGTAAATGACGATTGTTGTTCTAATGAGGAACTGGCAACTGTATTGCATCCTAACAGATTTATTGTCTTTTCTGACTCATTCATGTGACATAATGAATATGTTTCCAAAAAGTTGTTCACAGATGACAGCGAAGTGGTAGCTAGTATAAGAAGTAGTATTTTACTATCAGATTATATCAAATAATCACTACAATAAAAATAATGTTTGAGTGTACAAATGACTTGATAATAGTGTTCGATTAATTAAAGATCCATAAGCTATTGTTCTTAGAAAGATATGTGAAGAGGGACATATATCTAGCTAGAACAATATTTTATTTAATTTTGGAATACAAAATTCGTAAACTATAAATGAAAACAAGAGCACACCCATCAGCTAACAATGAAAATGGTTTAATTTATCATCAATGATACGGACCCAGATACAGAAAGGTATTTAGCATGTATAGTTTGTCTCAGACAATCATTGAATATTATTTGTGAAAATCATTAAATGTGTTGATACAAGATGCTTAATTCATGGATCTGCTAAAGTTAAAATGATAAATGCATTCGAAATTTAATCGCTGAAAACGGATGTTTGACTGAATAGCTTGATATCTGCAACAAACTAACTTTGTCATTAATTATATTGCTGAAACAGTCGGTATGCTCTGTTCAGGAAAATTACATGACAAGTGGTAGGAAGAAAAGGAGCTGACATAAAAGTACTTGTAACTGCACTGCAACAAATCGTACTACGGACTAGACAAGGCAGTGACTAGCATTAAATATTCCCCATCAATTTAGTTTTGAAAACACAGAGATTATATAGTTTTATCACATGCCTGCCACTCGTTTTGAGGTTCTTTAAAATATGAAAAAAATAATATGTACAACAAACGCTAGTTTTATATTTGTGGATTAAATTTCTCAAGCAAATGCGTTTTGGGCTCTGGGGTTATGCAATTATAGTCTGCCTGATTTCTCCATTATTTTAATAAGTTCTTATTAACAGCTATGAGAAATATAGAACTATTGTTAGTCAATACAATTACAGGATCATTGGAGTACCATCCAGTTGTTGTTAGTATTTTTATTGTCATCTCATTAGATTTAAGAGATACCTAGACAATTCCTCTTACAACGTCTGTAGTATTTGCCTCTACAAAAAATCTCAGTAACATCGGTATAAAACTGTATAACTTACTATTCTCGAGTTTATTTAGTGAAATATTTGAGCCATCAAATGTGTCGAACTGAAACAAAAAAGTGTTTAATTGATTATAATGAAGGAATCATCAAATATTTTAAAGCAGTTAAATAGAGTAACACACATTAGTTATCGACAGTTTTGATAAATATTGGTGCAAAATGTTAAAATGATTGGATTATTGAATACAAAAAACTCTAACATTTTGCTTTACGGATCAAAATCTTATTGTTTAGAAGACTGAGATAAATTAGCCATGAAAAACCTTTTTGATTGACATTTTATGATTAAGGAACTTACTGATAAACTCCGTAGATATGCTAAAACCTATAGTACCATATTTTATTCCCTCGTAGTAGATGTGCTTAGCCGTTGTACATATAAACCAATACAGTTATTAATATAATCAGATCAAATAAGGTTTTTCTTCAACAGTTATACTTGAAAAGAAATTTTTGAATGCTTAATTTGTTCCTTCAGACAACCAGCATAACAGCGATGCTGCCTTCCCACAAAGAAGGGTGAGGTTAGGAAAGGTCGACCATAAAAATGCACACCTCGCCTTATCCTACGGATATCAGTCTAAGGAGGTAAGGTCTTAACAAGTACGGAGCTAACAAAAAAATTACTAACAAGAAGGTCGTGTGTGACCGACCTCAAACAGTTTCCCCTTGGACACTGCGGTCACGTTCCCAGGTCACTAAGACAACTTCTAATCCAATTACCTTTTCAGGCACCTCTAGATGAACCCTTCCACGGTGTGGGCAACCGAGAAGTAATAACCGCCTCATTCCTCTAACAGCACTCAAAACTGAATTGGTTCCTCAGATTTGTAAACAAACAACCACTGAATGCGATTTACGTTCTAATATGTCAGTTCTCGATATATTAAACATAAAATACAGAATAAATGTAAGTATACGAACAAGCTATTGACGTAATCATGTTGCACCGATCCAGGAATTCGTTACATTTAAAGTAAAAACGACGAATATGGCTCATTTTTCAACAAACACCTATGTATTTAAAGATTTATAACTAATACGGTACTACTGACCGACATACTCAATGAATGATTAATAGCTTTTTTTAATATTTCAGATATTTTTCGGTACTTAGACTAATGAAATCAACTTGTGCTTATACCAGAAATCAAATTCATAGGACATATACAAATTATACAGCAAAACGAATTCCTTTCAATTATTTATGTTGCTAAATTAATAAGCACAATTTTCTCTTGTGTTTAATCGAAACATATACGACAGGATAATTGTTTCACATCTGTTATATTCACATTAATTGAACGTCACCTATGACAAAGGAGAGATATCTGTCTAATAGTAAAAGGACGAGTATATTGCGCAGCAGTTCGCTCTGTTCTACTTTACGGCTGTGAAACGTGGCCATTGGGGATAGAAGATACTCATAAATTACTAGTATTTGACCACAGATGTCTTGGAAATAATGCTCGCATCTGCTGGGACCAGCGGGTAATTAATAGTGTGGTTAGACACAGGGTATTAGAGAATGATGGTAAATCAGTTGGTGAGGTTGTGAATCTCCATCAACTGAGATGGTTTGGCCACGTGTTACGTATGCCCAATCACCAATTACCATGACGCGCAATGCTAACTAGTGTTGAGGACGGTTGTAAGAAAGTTTGAGGCAGCCAAACCAAAACGTGGCACCAGTGCTTGAAGTCATTAACTTCTGGTCTGAGCCATGTTGGTAAATGCAGACTACCTGGTTAGGGTCCACGTGACTATCGTAACCAGTGGTCGAGACTCCTGGTGATATGGCTCAGAATCGATCACAGTGGCGTAGGTGCATACACCCTTTGTCTTTCCTCCAATCATGAGATTGAAACTGCTTTATACTTTTGTTTCTAAGATCTAATTCTTTCTACCTGTATTATAGCCTTATATGTAATCTCTGTTTTATATATTACTACCATTGAAGTGACTACTTCTATGAATTTGGTGTTCATCTTGTTGTACTAATAAGGTATGGCAACTTGGACCGATGCATATATGTGCCTGGTCCTACGTTGTAGCTGACTGACTAACATGAAAAAGGAGAACCATCATGACAGCAAGCTACTCAGATTAGTAATTACATTGTAAGCTTAGCTGAATAAAATTCATGATTAGCAGTAATCACTTGATAACGCTAAATTTATCGATATTTTACAATTGTGACGTGCAAAAAGAAAATAATTAATATTATAATCTACACATTTTACCAACATTCTATGGAACAACTGCCTTAAACGTTTAATAGAAGTTATAGTAATAAAAATAATAATAATAATATAAACGACGAATGTTGAATAAAGATAAGATATAACTGAAAACATTGATCTCACTATTCTGGCGAAAAAAAGCAAACAAACAGAAGGATTACAATGTGATGAGATCTTGTTCATTAGTTCTAGTTACATCAAAACTAATTTTTATAATAAATAGTAACTACAAATTGCAAATTTAGCATGTTTTTTTTTCACTATAAGAACAGAGAACATTAAAAACAAACCCATAAATGAAATCAGATAAAAATGTAAAGAAAAAGAAATGACATTAAATTGGACAGGCTTATTCAATATTCTAAAAATGAACAAAACAATGCAATTGATCAATAAATAGCAATGGTTCATGTTTATAACATGAAAATCAAATAACATATTAAGTAATGAATGACTTAATATTGAACAGGATATATTTTTTTGGAACGTACTTTAAGTTCATTGATACGATTTAAACTTTGAAGTACAAGGACTAACATTGCCAAACTTTGAACATCATGTATACGAAGGAAATGGCGAATCCTGTATATTAAACAATGATTTTTTCTTTAAGTAACAAAAATAATTTGTGGAAATCACAAACAAACAAAAAACAATAACTGAAAATAAGAATAATTTGATCATAATCAGAAGGGGTTTTGTGGAGATTTCAGTATTTTCATAGTTGAAATCATGAGTCAACTGAAGCTAGACTACCATGGAAAACCTGGAAGCACTAAACGACCGTTTCGTCCTATTATGGGACTCCTCAGCAGTGCGCATCCACGATCCCGCCTCGGGTAAGTGCTCTGGCGCGAGACTGGTAGGTCCTGAGTTCGAATCTCGCGAGTGCAGGATCGCGGATGCGCACTGCTGAGGAGTCCCATAATAGGACGAAACGGCCGTCTAGTGCTTCCAGGTTTTCCTCGGTGGTCTAGCTTCAAATGACTCATGATTTCAACTATGAAAATAATTTGATTCACAAAGAAAAGTAGTAAGTTTTGATTATTCACAGTAATCATAATCTTTCATAAGGTCAGTTTTATTCTAAGAATCCATTTCACTTAGTAAATCAATATTAAGTAATGATTAAAACTTTACAACACAAAAAAAGACTGTGGTCAATTAGTAGCTTATGAATGATATTTTACCGTTTAAGAAGACTCTGCATTTTGTCAACATAGTCCTGTTTGGTGAAGACGTTGACAAAATGCAGAGTCTTCTGTTGGAACTGAGTAATAATGCCAGGATGTTTGGGATGCGTTTCTCCCCATCCAAATGTAAATTGTTACTCCAGGACTGGCCTGCGTCAACACTCGAACTAAGGATAGGGAGTGAAGTAGTCGAACGCGTTGACAACTTCACTTATCTTGGAAGTCTGATCAGCCCTAATGGGTTGGTGTCTGACGAAATCTCAGCACGGATTCAAAAAGCTCGTTTGGCTTTTGCCAACTTACGTCACCTATGGCGAAGACGAGATATCCGTCTATCAATTAAGGGACGAGTATACTGCGCAGCAGTTCGTTCTGTTCTACTTTACGGCTGCGAAACATGGCCATTAAGAGTAGAAGATACTCGTAGGTTACTAGTATTTGACCACAGATGCCTTAGAAATATTGCTCGCATCTGCTGGGATCACCGAGTAAGTAATAGTGAGGTTAGACACAGGGTATTAGGTAACGATGGTAAATCAGTTGATGAGCTGATAAATCTTCATCGACTGAGATGGTTGGGCCATGTGTTACGTATGCCTGAACACCGATTACCACGACGCGCTATGATGACTAGTATTGGGGACGGTTGGAAGAGAGTTAGGAGCGGCCAAACCAAAACATGGCATCAGTGTTTGAAGTCACTAACTTCTAGCCTGAGCCACGTTGGCAGATGCAGACTACCTGGTTGGGGTCCGCGTGACTATCGTAATAAATGGTTGGAGACTCTAGGTGACATGGCTCAGAATCGATCACAATGGCGTAGGTGTATACACTCTTTATCTTCCCTTAAACCTTGAGATAAAAATTGCTTCATAACTTTTTTTCTTCCTATACTATATCCTTCTATACAATCTTTCTTTATATACTACCACCACTAAATTAATTGCTTCTATGAATCCGGTGTTCATCTTGATGTGCTAAAGAGGTATGGCAACTTGGACCGATGCATATATGTGCCTGGTCCTACGTTGTAGCTGACTGACTGACTGACCGTTTAAGATGATGAACTCCAAATTCATGTTGGAGCAGAGTGAAAAGTGACATCATTAATTTTAAAATACAACCAGCCAATAAAGTATTTTCACCACTATAAAATTGTATGTCGTCAAAGTGAAATGTCAGCCGAATTCACTAACATAAAAGTAAAGAAAAAGATAGTATCGTACGAGAGGATAAGAAAAGGAAATCAGGCGATAAACTGTAGGATAGTATAACGAAGTTTTCAGTGATTGAATTGTAGAATGAATAGATATAAGGTCAAATGTTACTTTAAAAACAACATTTTTACAAACTAAGTATGGCTGTGCTAAATGCTAAATTCTTGATCACGATTAAAATAAAAATTCTTGGTAGTAATCAATGTCTTGTGTTATATATATGACAATCAATTAACAACGAAAAGATGATCGGCTGCTTAGAGAAAGCTGTGTTACTAAATTGGTGATAACGGTTCTATAATTTATTTTAATTGGGATTAGGATAAGAATTAGCTGGATAGCTAGTGTTATGCTATTTGAATAATTATAGCTCTGATTTACGCTACAGCTGATAGAAAACATAATTTTGAAGTCAGGTTTCAGTTATAGAATGTCTAGTAGGTCAACCAAAGAATCACAGTACTATAAACTCTTTATTGACCAGCTGATAAAGGAAAACCGAGTTACTGAGAAAGAAAGATACTTACATAAAGGTATATTTTGGAATACAGGTCAATTATAAACATTTAACTCAATGTTGATTAACTGCCCTTGTGTGAATTACTTGGTTTTCCTCTATCCTCAAAAACATTTTGTAGAAAATAACAGGTCTTCAAAGTATTATGTTAAGATGAAAGTGTACCCTTGTAGTAAACGAAAAACTCAGGTAGGGAAAACCAATTTACTGCCTCATGCAAAAATACAGAGTGTCTTCGTAAAATATGTATAACTATACATTGAGTACATTATTTGCTCATCTTATTTTAGTTGTTATCCACATGCATCATGATTCCTTTAATTCTGTTGTTACTACAGTTGCTCACTGTTTCCCTCCCTGTTCTCATCAATATCATATTCTCAATCTTCTGCTACCAGGTATCCACTTCCGACTGGCGCCATTTAATACTTATATCCGTCAACATAAGTAGCATACACTACACCCTGATACAGTAACAGAGTATTTTCATAGTAACACTCAGGTAGGATCGAGCACAAAAAATCGATTTGTCGGCTAACTTCAATATTTGTTATATGCGACATTATAAACGAGTCCTACAAAACCACTTATTAAAAAGAAATTATTCAGGTTAAAGTCCTTCACACAGTTTTTATTCCCTTAACTTCAAGAGTGGCACACAATTATTGTTATTAGATATCGCTTTTAAGTCAGATATTTACTATATTTTAGATAATAACTAGAATCGATCAACTCATTTAGTGCCCAAACTCTGCATTGCTTTTCTTTAAAAACTAAAATCAATATAAACGAATTTTGCAAATTATCATAAGCATCTCCAAAATTTATTGAAAACTACTTACCATGTATCAAATAACGGTCTTCCAATTAATTGTGAAGCTAAAGGTTGATGAACTTGGTGAGAATGATCTGTGTGACCAAGTGAAATTGACATAACTAGAGCATATTGCCAGAACTAAGTTAAATATTGATAAAAACAAATAAAACAGTAACGTACAAAGGGACACTCTATGTAAATCAGAAAATAAGTACATAAACTAAAGGAATCCTTTGAATGTATTCAGATGGTAGCTAGCAGTGAAATACGAGATGCGATGTGTGTGGGATTCATCAGCTGGATGTCCCTGTATTGCAGTAATGTTATTCACACGGCGAAACTCCAATATAACACATAACGCTCCTTCAAACGGGTTCCAAAAAGGATCAAACATGCGCATTTGATTCTACTGTTAGTCAAAATAAGAATAACTGAAAAACTATAGTTAATGACTAGTATTGAGGCACTCGTTTATGGTACATCTTTATGATTAAGGATTGATCATTTTTAGTCCTGGAAATACAAACTATCACTAAGAAAAGTTAGTGTTTTAAGAAATAAAAAAACGGGTGTAATTTTAAAAACAATACCTTTTCTTATTAAGAATTTATTAAGTATATCCGCAGTTTGTCTTCGTGACAGATTAATTTCAGTTGCGTTACCATTAAAAAAATCAAGTGGAGCTGGACAGCTGATTTGTCTTAGTAAGGGACTTCTCAGAAACGAGCAACCACGAACCCTTTATGTATCGTACCTAGAACAATGAGGCTTTGAGACATACGATTAACAATTAGAACTATTGGGTCGACAACCAATGGTACAATTCTAACGCAAGTCAATTTGCGATATAGAGCGATGATCGATCAATGGTGTTGGTGGCTACTATCTTACTCCCAACATGTATGAACTCTATTACTCACGATTACTAATTAGAATTTCAAGGGCATTTTGAAGTAACTCATTAATTGGCGGAATATCATAGCCTAATTCAAATGGTTTTCATCAATAGTACTGGGTGAACGTCGTGATATGTTTCAAACTAATTGGATTCGGAGTTGTGCCATTAGAAGCCAAGTCGATGGTTGCAATGATTAATAATTTGCCGGAAGGTGTTATGGTCCTGGATTTGATTCAGGACGGGTATGTGGTTGTCCACTGCTGGACTTCTCAGAAACGAGCAACCACGAACCCTTTATGTATCGTACCTAGAACAATGAGGCTTTGAGACATACGATTAACAATTAGAACTATTGGGTCGACAACCAATGGTACAATTCTAACGCAAGTCAATTTGCGATATAGAGCGATGATCGATCAATGGTGTTGGTGGCTACTATCTTACTCCCAACATGTATGAACTCTATTACTCACGATTACTAATTAGAATTTCAAGGGCATTTTGAAGTAACTCATTAATTGGCGGAATATCATAGCCTAATTCAAATGGTTTTCATCAATAGTACTGGGTGAACGTCGTGATATGTTTCAAACTAATTGGATTCGGAGTTGTGCCATTAGAAGCCAAGTCGATGGTTGCAATGATTAATAATTTGCCGGAAGGTGTTATGGTCCTGGATTTGATTCAGGACGGGTATGTGGTTGTCCACTGCTGGAGGGTTCCATACTAGGACAAAACAACTATCCTGATATGTAACGAATACAACTTACTAATTAGATTTATCACCATAAAACACATCTATCTACTTAAATATTATTATTTGTCTTATCGTAACAATTTTTAGGAGTGAAAACGTAAGTTTAGTGATGATTAAGGACTAATTTAAATTATATCGTTGCACCTAAAATGGATAAATAAGAAAGTTAGACCGAGTAAACATATTGATGAGTTAAATTTATCTCTTAGAACGCAGGGAATAACTTAGCATAGAACAACCCATCTAAAACTAGAACCTTAAACACTACGCTTTAAATACAAAGTTTTACTAAGTAGATTATGGAGTTCTATACAATCAACGGTAGTATAGATATAGTTGTAAACAAAAGTAAAATAGCACAAAGTACTGATCAATTCAGCTTTATGAATCTCCAATTGAATGTTTATTTGGAGAATATAGTAGGATTTCTAGTCAAAAAAACTACTACTTCAACGTTATAATCAGAAAATTAAAGTTTTACTGATAATGCTACTAAGAACTTTTCTACATTAAGAAATGAACATAATCGAAATTAAAAAATGTCGGAGTAACAAACAAACCACGTTCTCATAATGTATTTTTTATCTCATTGAAGAGGTAAATGAAATGAAAATATAAACATAAGTTTCATATTTGCTACGAAACATCAACAAAAATGTAATCTAATTCTTGACAAGACTCACTCAATCTATGACATTTGGGTTTATGTTGTACAACACCGCTTCAACGACAAAATTTATATTCAAATACAGAATGAAACACTTGAAAAGATCTTTACAAGTTTTAAAAAATCAGTTGTCGGATAACAATCTCAATAACGCTTACTCAATAGCTCTCAGGATTCGAGAGTGAAATAGAGTAAAAATTTGTTAACGGAATAGAGAATACATTTACAGTTTGAGGACAGTGTGAAAAAATTTATTGAGGGAACGAACACACAAAAATGTATAAAATGAACAAAAGTTCTTTCTTTAAACATAGAAAAATATAATAAGATGAAGAACAGACCGTATGCCATAAGTAATACAAAATAAGTAAATAAATGCTTACTCGAATAAGATCCTTTCGATGAGTATTATAAACTGCATGAAGATTGTGAATGCACATCTGTTGTAGATTTTCGGTGTTTAAGCTATATGTATGTAAAAGCCAAAAGTGAATGAATTATCATGGATTCATTAGGAAAATATTTGTTTAAAAATACTTTGCAAGTACAGTTTCAGTACAAAAATAAAATATATAGAAAAAGTCAAAATTATAAAGCAGAAAGACAAGCTTTGAAATCAGTTGCACTGGAGTAGATGAATTTATTCGTTAACTGAATCTTAGGTTTAAGTATTATTTCATGCATAGTGAACTTTAATTTCACCTTTTCTATCCTTATTTTTTTCAGATCATGTTGGCTAACTTGCTGTTCGTGCCTTGATGATTTTCCCTTATTGTGGTAGAGGAAAATATCAGTACATGAACTGATGTACATTTGAAGGACGTTCGATGTTAACTGATTACAAAAATGAATCTTTTTAAATAATGTTAGAGTAAATCAAAAGAATTTTTACAAAAACGCTCAATTATTTGAGAATGGATGTTACAATTTCTATATTTATTTATTATTTATTTAAACACATAAATATTGGTACAAAGGAGCATCAGATATATATGCGCCACACAAATCTCATTTGATTTGTGTGAGGGCTGTGATACTGCCCGGGTGCCCAAACCGAAGCAGGTGGTTTCTTAAGGAGCCACACCCAGAGCCTTTGATCTAAAGATCTGATCTACAAGGCAGTGGAGCATCATGAGGAGATGCAGTCCCATGGTAGTCGGTGACCAACTATTGATTCATACGCCATTTGTTCCCTCAGGATACTGCAGTCCATGTGCATCATTGGTTTGGAATCAGGGTTTTCCAACTCCCCTAGGTGGACGCGCTGTGTCCACCAACCCGGTTAAAGCGCCGGACATTCGCTTTTCGTTCTCTAAATTTCGTTAACAACACCTGTGGCACGAGAAGAAAGTGAGTAGGAATTCCTTGGCAGAGGCTATATACGCGTGGTCATATGAGAGCAAATCGAGACGGAGGGCAGACTCTCCCCACTCTCGGCCGTACCAGGGCATTTGGGGACAAATATTAAGTTGAAGAATGCAAACATAATTTAAGTTATTTGTTATAGACCGATACAAAGATATTACTTTTCAAAAAAACTCATTACATAATGTCAACGCTTCATTACTACTGTTCTGGTCAGACATTTTTGTTAAATAGAAAAAACCCTAAATTACAATTGTAAGGTATAGAATATTCAAGTATTTCATTCCGAAGTTTTGAGAGATGAGTTCGGCTTTACACATAACTCGATTTTGTACTACTCAATTTACAGTACAATAGTTAAAGAAAATGAATCTATGTTCATTCGACAAAAAATAATGGTGACAGGATGTGATAAGTTAAACAATTACCAGGTAATTTTTTAACACAAACTAATTCACTAAGTCATATGATAGTTTCAATGAAAGCAAAATTCTTAAAAAAAGATTCATGTCATAGTGAATAACAAACGACTCTGAAACTGAAATAATTCATTATAACTGTAAGAAACATTTGAGAAAAGTATATCAAACAAGATATAGTTAAATATAAGCTTACAAACCTGTATTCATACATTAAGTGCCGATCCCAGATTAAAGGGCTCATATCATAAATTTGAATAGTAGATGGATCTGTACAATGAACATAGTATAAAAGTTTAAAGATTTATTCGAGGATAAGAAGTGTGAAGAGAAAATTAGGAAAAATGTTATTATGAATTTGTTCACAAGTTCACAGATTAATAAAAAACACATGTTATTTACATTTATCAGTACATAAATAGGCAAAAGGAATTTACTCGTGTGCAGTCACATTTGATTAATTTACTACTAAAAGTAACTATGGTTGTTTTGTTTTTCCATCGGAAACATTCAGAGTATATATTCCACAAAAGGAATAAATTAATCTTCGTTTCGCCTGGTGAAAAATGGCAAAAGAGAGATCTGATGTGATGTTTTAAAGCTACAATGATATGCTTACAAAATACAAAAAGCGAAGAAGTAGACTTTATACATATTGTGATAAATTAACCAGGTCACCCACAAAGTTTTTCGGGGAAGCATGTGTATATAGTTAACAGTTAGGCAAACACAGACTGTTCTACATAAATCTCTTTACCATAAAGCTATAATTTAATGAAGACGTAGCTAGCACTGTTTTATACAACAGATTAAATAGAACTGTGAACAAGACTTTTTATTCAGCTGGTCTTTGTTCGTCACCTTCCAATCAACAAATGGTGATCGCTTAACTAAATAACGAGTTACCTGGTTTCTCTACTCCGATATGCATCTAGTAATCCAGATACTTATGCGAAGAACTCTATATTGGGGGGGGGGGAGTACTGCCAGAGCGTGAGCCAATCAGCATCTCTCTTTCGTGATTTAAAAAGGGTCAGACTCACTCATGAACAACTCTAAATGGTAGATGGTTGTCATTTGATAGATAGAACCAAAATATTTACAGTTATTTTTTCAAATATTTTCCACTTGCTTGTTGTCATCCGATCCCATTTTTATGTATCCACAATCTCTGGGTAGTAGTACCTCTGCCCCTATTTCACTAGATATTTCTACTTTTTGTTTGTTTCAGTTTACCTTTCTCATATATTTTCTTTACTAGTTGAATTCTTAAATTGATAAACCACATGGTTCTTCGGAAGCAATTCTTCCACGACCAGAATTTAAACAAGTTTATTCCTGAAAGTTTGCACATATTTCTGAAATAATTATTCATGTTGTATTACTCTTTATTATACTTGAAATTAATACAATACTTATCATCTTACTCTCAATTTATACTTTTTCACTTATTATTACTAGTTATGCAATCTCTTTCTTGATGACTCAAGAAACCCCATGATTGCTTTATTATTTTTCATACAGACATATAAATATTACTGTATATTGCAATACTGCATTATGAAGAGCTAGTTGAAAAGAAGATTATTTACTTATATATATATATATATATATATATATATATATATATATATATATATATTGTTTCAGTAAGAAGCAAAGAAAGGAAGTATCTACTAATTATATTCTTTATCGATAACAGATCTTGATTGATTTGAAGTTTTTTTTCGAACATAGGCTAGTTATTCAAACCTATTTGAGTTTTACACGTACGCAAAACTAAAATGAGTACACATTTAGCATAAAAAGGTCAAAATATACTACACTACATCTTATTGGGTGCATGTTTTGGTTAAGAGTTAAAAAGCACTATTCATTTAGACACTTTTTTTCTTAAGATAACCAAAATAAAATATCACCTCTTCCCCTATCCGTTAGGATAACTAAATGGAGATTATGAACTAAGTAGAAATAATTAATTGATAACTTTAACTAGAAATGTTTGTGAGTTAAATATATTGATAATCTAAGTTTTTGTCTGTAATGAAGGTTATTTAGTATATGCTTGTGTAGTTATTAAGAATCAATGTTTGCTATACAACTTTCATTATATATTTCATAAACTGAATGCTACATGACATATCATACCATTTTGAATACAAATAAGGATTTTTATTCCGTGCATAATGTATATTCAGTCAGTTAGAAAGTGACCCCATCCATTGTGGACTTCTATAAGGGTGGAAATTCATGATAAATCAATAGTCTGTCATAAGAATCATTCCAAAATCTCAGGCATCTATTTAACAGTCACCATAATTTTTATATTACATAAAATAGTTAATTTTTCAAAGAATAATAAAATGAATTTAGATAGCAAGAATTGGGTATAATCAACTACTTGACAAATAGGAAGGGGGTAAAAAAGAAGAAAAGAGAAATTTGAAAATGATAATTATTATTCATTAGTAAGTATAGAAGACTGGAAGACAATAATAACAACTAACTATTATGCAAAAAGGAGTTAAATCTTTAGTGGAATGAGAGATCAGATATGTTGCTTCTGCGAACAGAATTCAGATTTTAGTCTCTTTAATTCTTATCAAAAGGGGTTTTGTGGATATTATAGTAATTTTGATAGTTGAGATCATGAACCAATTGGAGCTAGATCACCATAGGAAACCTGGAAGCACTGAACGACCGTTTCGTCCTATTATGAGACTCCTCAGCAGTGCGTATCCACGATCCCGCCTCGCGAGACTCGAACTCAGGACCTACCAGTTTCGCGCGCGAGCGCTTAACCACTATTCAACTTAATCCTAGGTTCCGTGTAATTTTATTCTATTGCAATAATATAAATAGATGTAATTAGTTAGATATATCTAGACATCTATAGAATAATTTCTATACAGATGTAACCAATGACTGAATACTTCTAGGATAAATAATTACTGACAAGTAATTGAATAAAAAATCAATTAAACTTATAATTGTAGAAAATAATTAAAATAAAATGATACAGGAGATATTATTGCTTATGATAACTTATAAATACAATACAACTATTATATATTTCTCCATATCAATAATTTTGTTAATACAATATGAAGGCGGTATAAATATTGACTAAAATAGGTCGTCATCATTTAAGATAAATAATGTCAATATCGGATATACATAAATATGGATACCCAGTTGTCGGCAAAGTTAACTTGTTAATCAGATATCATAGTAATAATAACAGCAACTATAAAATCGTATCAATTTTCATTCATTTAAATAAATAAGTCATAATTTTTATCATAATACACACTCACTTGTACGCTCGTATATATATATATATATATATATATATATATATATATATATAGACTCTTATGGGAAGAGTGCACAAAATTATTTTACAAGAAACTTCATTTGGAAATCCTACATTTTATCAGTGAAACAGAGTAAATTAACAACAACAGAAAATAGCGTTGACGATTAGATTGAGACGAAAATATAAATTTACATACTACTGTTAAGGCAAACTTTAAAATTAATATAAAACGCGCACACAGATATTAGTCAATGTAGTAACTATAACTTTCTTTTTAAAACAGATATTTTCTTCTATTTTTATATGTCAACTGTGATATGTATATGTAATGAGGGAAAACAAAATCATAATATAAACAAGACTTACAAATCATACTGAAATGACTGAAGAACATTTCATTTGGATTCTGAACATCAGGAGAGTTGGGATGTGTTGTTGAAATGGAATTGAGCCATTTTTGCTCCGTCACACGAGACGACTCAAAAGAATTCTTTTCAAACAAATAAAAATGGATGACAACGTTTTATGCACAACAGGGTGTCAAACTAAAGTGGCTTTTTTTAATAATCATTAGAAGCTTATTCGATTAGTCATGACCTGTTCACATTAAAATCCACAATTTTTTGATTGAAAAAGAAGTGTTCAGAATCAAGTTAACGTATGTCTCAAACTTCCTTCACGTTGAGAATGGTCAGATTTCCTAAAACAGACTGTAACACTAACAGTCAATCTTAGCGTTTTTCTGCCTAACTCTGTGTGACTTTCATTCTTATTTTACTCAAAGATGTTCAATTCTTAGTCATTTTTTGTTTTATTGAAACATATATTTTTTAAAACCGGCTATAAATATATGATAACTACCTAGAAAACTAATGATCATTATAAACAAGTAAATTTTCTAAACAAATATTGATTTGCTTTTGCTGGCTCAGTTATTATACTATGAAAGAAAAGAGGACGTTCTCTACATTCATAGTTCATAGCATTTACTGCTAAGAGTATCAAGCCTTATGTACTCAGCAATGTCACTTAGAGATGTGTCAAAATAAAACTCGTGAAACTTTCGAAAGTAACACATCACAACGAATTTTATTCGACATAACTGAGGAATTGAAAACTCTGAGGGTTGAAATTTCGCACATTAACCATTCTGCAATATACTTCGAAACATAATAAATAAATGACAAATGAAATGTTATGTAATACATGCGACTGACAGTCGACTGTGTAAAAATATTACAAATAGTTAACATGTAATAATGGAATTGTTATTTCATCAAATGTACATGAATTAATGAATTCCGCAACAAAGTAACAATATAACATATAAGATAGTTTTACCTTTACTTCAGTATCGTCAGCTGTTGAATTAATTGAATTTCGATTAAGTTCTGTATTCATTTTAAAAGATAATCTATTTTTGTCAACTACTTCATGGATACATTTCTGTTTTTCATGAGGTTGATGTTTTTGTCGTTGTTGTTCCTTACAATCTACCTCGAATCTAGCAAATGAATCAATTATATTTCCAATACAATTCTGAAATGATCTTTTCATATAATTATTATATTCACGATTTGTTGATGACAATCGATGAATAAATTTTTGGTATTCACTGAAGGATTGTGGTGTCCAATCTTTTTTTATATCATTACTATTATTAGTAGTAGTAGTATTTGTTAAATCTACTTGACAATTAACATCTGATGAAGTTAATTTCAATGAATTACGTATAAATGACAAAGATTCTGGTAGACCAAATGTTACAATTAGACCATTCGTGGTAAAATGAACACCGGATGTTCTTGGGAAAGGAATACCTATTGTATAGTGACATTTTTGTTTCATTGAAGCTGTTGTATCAATAATTGGTTTATTCAATTTATCCATATTAACATTAAACATATCATAATTTGTAGTAGATAAATTTGTTAAGTTTAATTTTTTAGAATTACTTTCTATCTACGATAAAATTAAAAGAGAAGAAACGAGTCAGAAGTAAGACTGCGAGAGAGTTGCTTTATTATTCAAAGAAGAGATGAATGGTAAACAAGTCTGCTAAGTATGATATTTAACATAAACAAATCACAATTAGAGAAAACAATACTTTTGAATCAAAATAAGTTACATATAAACTATAAATATGAGCCTAACAATACAAGAAAAAACATTTTCTTTGAAAAATGATATGAGCTTTTGGTTTGTGAGATGAGATACGACTTCTACTTGAACCAATTCATTGAACCAGTAATGTATTAACTGAAAACATTAAGTTTCATCTTCTCCGATGATTAATTACAGAAAGTCCCTCAGGATTGGGATAAAACAAAGAACACATGGACAGAATGTTTGCTGCTCTGACAAAAATGATTATTACAATGACTAATAAGCGGGTAAATCTCCGAGAATCAAGCTCTAAAAATGCGAATTTTAAGTAGTCATGCAATTTGATTGACCAATTTTAGTCAGATTTTCTAGAAACATAAAACTCACCATCACAAAAAATGATTGATGTAATTCAAATGAACAGTCTTAATTACCATTTCAAGCTAAATATTTTTATCACTTATGACAAATTTCAATGTATCACTAACTCAGTGACCGAATAGATCAAATCGCTGCCATGGGACGAAGACGGTGCTGTTTGCCAGCAGCTAAGAAACTTTGTTTGATGTGAATACATTTTAGTAGTTATAACTCATTATGTTGGTAACAATGTGGAATATAAAACGGTAGTCAATCAATTATATCCAGAACCGGATTCTTAAATCCACGACAGATACAACCCAATGTAAGGGAGATATTAATAAGATACTTACTTGATTGTTTAATGTAGGATATGTTTGTAAAGTGATCACAGCATTTCTTATACATGGTTCAACACAACCACGTGAGGTGGACACTAGTTCAGATGCCGTTGAATATAAAACCTGAAGACAGAAGAAAATAGCAGAGCTATTAATACATTTTAAAAAATACACCAACAGAAATGAGATAAAAGTTGAAAATATCTTATTTTGAAGACGATAAAATACCTAATTCACATTTTTCATCAATAAATTACTTTCGCCTGGTAATTAACACTTTGATGACAGTTGATTTAAATAAAAAATTAGAATTAAGCGAAACACATAAAACTACCTGTAATTTTCAATGACAAAATACATAAATTTAGACTACGACATGTACTGAGGAACCTTTGGAAATTTTAGTGACTACGTGATGGTAAATTGTTGTATATGGCTAGTAAAATGATAGCAAATTCAAACCAATCAGTGTTGTAGGGAATGTGCTTTACCTCAAGATACATTTCTTGTTATGAATGAATCTGTCTAAAACTTATAAAGACAGAACATAGGATGTCAAGTGATTACCCACTGGATATGTTGGTTGTCTGAATTACCACAATTAATCAGCATTTGAATATATATGTAAAGTTTTAATTCATAACGATCAATAATGATAAGAATGAAGTTAGACAAACTAGATATATGAACTGTTGAGTAGGCTTCCAAGAACTACAGAGGAGCCTTGCGAGGCCCTAAAAGAGCTGAAGAGTTTCCATCCAACCAGAACATAATGGAGCTTTCTAGAATAGCAACGTGGCATGCTACTGTTGGATAGTAGCACAACATGTCTCTTTGCGGACTGGCCGAATCACAAATTTGATTTAACAAATGCCAATATCTATAAATACTCTTGATTTTCTGTACATTTCGATTCTTACCAAATAAACACTTGTCCAGCTTTTTCTTCTGACTTCTGCTTTGCGGCGGTGAAGTTCTAACGTTCGAGTATCATAGTTGTAAACTGTATTCTGCGTTGATCAAGTAGCGAACCTAACATGAATACTATTTCTAAGAAAAATTATGACGAAATTATTCCAAGATACTCCTAAAGTTTCAATCTGTTCACTCTAAACAATTTTGACAGAAATTTCTAAACACATAGGATAAACAGGTTAGCTTCTATATGTGTTTAAAAAATAGGAAAAAAATAGTTGAATATCTTATTGGAATTAGATTTTTGTTTGTATTGTTTCACTTATTTTCCTGTTCAGACAGAAAGAAAACTTTATATCGATGGTTAGAGACCTTGAATGACATGGTTCAAAATCGTTTGCAATGGCGAAGGTGCATCCACTCTTTGTGTTCTACCAAATTCTAATCTTCTGAATTCTTCATGTCTCTATCTTTTTTCTCTTTCCAAATTTATTTCATTGGATTATACTCCTTCCATAACATATTCAAACCCTAATCTTTCACATAATGCCTATACTCTTACTACTTCTACCACTATGGGATTTGATTCGACAACTGCATCTCCGTGGTAATATGGTATGGCAACTCGAAGTGATGTACGTACGTACGAAGTTCTACGTTATGATTGACTGACTGACTGATCTTGAAATGAAATGATAATAATGTGAGTTATTTTTAAAATTATAAGTTGAAACTGTTTATTCTAGATCATTTAGATAAATAGTTAAGAGAATAAGTTGAAACAATAAAATTCTGGTCAATATAAGCGTATACAAACAAGCAAAAGTATAAAGAAACAAGATATATATATTAAAAACATAATTTATGATCACTTCTTCATAACCAATATTATATAGAAATATATAATATATTAAACGAGAAAAATTAACCAATTACTATTATTGAGCTTTGTAGAAAATAAAAAACCCGGTAATTTTCACGTAGTGAACAGATAGTTTCACAATTTGAATTCACAAGAAATAAATTATTTAAATTCCTGTAAAGTTGAAACATTTTTAAAAAAAAATGGTTTTCTGAGTTTAATGTTCATATGTTAATTATTACTTATGGATGTTTAATTGTTTTAACTTAAAACATCGGAATAGTGATTCATAACACTTTACTTTGGTTTAAGCAGAAGAATAGTATTAGTAACTCATATAACCTGAAGTATATTAGGAAATCCAGTTCATAAATCTATACTTTATTAATAAATTACAGAAATATGGTAATTTATTTAGCATTGTTTGTTTGAATCTTCCCATTGATGCTTAGGACTGCAACTGGTCAGTCTATTATTGGCATATGTGCATACTGTGTGTATTTGATAATACGATGGCGTTTGAAGCGAACGGTATTGGGTTCGAGTCCCAGAGTGAACATCAACTCTGAGATGCAGGTACATCCAGTTGACGAGTCACAAATAGGACGAAACGCACGTTCTGGATTCCTCTGCTAGCCACCATCCATCTTTGCTTATGGTAATTCATGTTTGGATTTTCGATGTGAGATTCATCTTCCGCTTAATATATGTTACATACCGATGAATATTTTGTTATTCACTGGGAATTAAATCAAGTATTTTGTTGTAACAAACAACAACCGTCACAATTTGCTATTATTATTATTATTAACAAATATTTATCAATCTGTTGAGTTGTTTTAAACTATACTTATTTGGTTTCAATTTAAATGTGAGCATAAAAACATTAACTAACGTTTGTGTAAGATAAGTTGAATGCCACATTCATACACATTCTAGAAAACATCGCTAACAGTAATCAAAAATACTACAACAATATCACCAAGACAATCTTTAAAAGAAAATAAGAGAGAAACAAGGGGGATTAGAAGGAAAAAACTTACATTTCTTAATTCATCTAGTACTTCTGGAGGTAAAGGTGGACTGCAATCAAGTACATGAAATTCAGGTATAGCTCCATTTAATGGATAATTATCAGGGAATTCTATACTTAATATAATTGAACCAGCTAATGGCATTTCACAGTTACGTGTATTGTTATTAGTCGAATTTTCTAATTCATGACTATTATCAAAGGTTGAATGATTTGATGGATCGTTTGTTAAATGCGTACTCTCTTCATTATCAACACTAACAGCACTATTACTATTGCTAATCTGATTCGATATTGTATGTTCAGTATCAGTTGTCGATGATAAATTACGATGGTGTGCTTTCCAAAAATTTGAATGTTCTGAAAATTCCATTTGTGAGATCAGATCAGTGGTTGAAGGTAATAGTAGACTATCAAGACCTTCATTATTCATTACAGAACTATGACGTCGTCTTCGAAGTGTATTTGTTACTGAACATAATGAATAATGATGATGATGATTACGACGACAGTAAAATAGAATTAATTTAGCTGTACGATTGATAAGATCCATTTCTTCTAACTTATACTAAAGATACACAAATAAAATATATAAACAATAATATCGTTTAAAAACAATTAACTAATGGATACAATAAAAGTTTGAATAAGAAAGTGTTAACACGTTTCACAAATCCAAAAAGATGAAGTCCTTTTAATTTGATGAATTACGAACTCCATTGATCTGATGAAGTAACTAATATTAAAAATTTGAAGGATTTATGATGAAACTAAAATCGTGTAAAACAAATACACATTGATACATAGTGCGAGTGTACAGTCAAAAACGATTTTATAACAGATATAATTAATTGAATTAACTGTATTACTACGATTGATTTCAATTACTGCAGTTCACAGTTTCAAAACAGGAAAACTACAGTTCTATGGATGGTATACATTGATTAATGAAATACTTCTTTCTTATGGTGTCAAAACCAATTGAAAGTCAAAATTTTCCTAAAAAATAATAAAACATGTCACACAGTCGTTATGTAAAAATAACTATGGAAACAACACAGTGCTATGTCATTAGTTATTTTTCAATATGTTACAAACAACGTGTTAGTTATCACTATTTCCTATTATGATCAGTGTGATTGAATTTAAGTTATTAAATCTCGTTTAATTTGTTAATTCTAGTTAGCGTTTTTTTATCAAGGTTGTTTTCCACGAGATGGGGATGCTGACCCGATGGTCAACCCTCCTGCGTTACTCAAACAGGGCCGTGGCAGTGGCCCTAGAAGAGCTAAGGGCGCCGAAAATGGGAAGCAGACATAAAAAGGATGAGCGGCAACTGAAAAGGATTGCTCAGGACAGAGTTCGATGGAGAATGATGGTGGGTGGCCTATGCTACTCCACAAAGGGTAACAGGCGTAATTAAGTAAGACTAGTTTAACAAGCTTATAGAATCTTAGAAAACACATACACGTAGGATAACGGTAGAGATAAGGTTGCAAACGTTATATATATATATATATATATATATATATATATATATTATATATAGGAAAAATCTAATTTTCAGAAAGAGATAAGTTATTAAAAGTACCAAACGTCGTAATTTCAGTAATAATCATTATTTCAAAATGCTAAAACATAACTGGATTAACTTTAATCAATTTCTACATCGTTTTTCTAACCAAATGTCGTTTAATTAAATTCATCATTAGAATTTACGGAAATATACCCTTTAAAAGCGGTAGGCGGAGAATTTTCACTGTCTACTAAACGTATTTACAATTTTAAAAGGAACGTTTTACGAGACATGAACGTCAATTTTTATGTTTTTAGTTGCTATGCTGAACAGTATATTATATATGCATTATATTAACTATGGAGACATGCACAATGAATAAAACTCTGCTTGATAAATTATATTTCATCTAACAATGTGAATTCGCTTGTAAAGAAATACTAAGTGTATTATCGATATGCTTGAATAATTTACAGTGTATAATAAATAAATTTAAATCGTTATTACCCAATACATCCTGATCATCTGGTAAATTTTGGTTAAGTGAGAACAAAAAGAATTGCAGAATATTATGAACTCATTGTATTCTAAGGCTTTTCATCAGTTATAAACGGCCATTATTTTTATTGATATAAATTGTATGATAATGGACTTGTTTATGGAGCTGACACTCAGTGATTTCAACCAATAAACCAAAGGACGTGAAACAATGAACCAGCTACTGATGTGAAAAAAAGCAGATTGATTACCTATAGACTAGTACATAATCCTGTACTTTGTCTTCAGTTAGCGTAGATGTTCCATTGAAGGAAAAAATTTGAACTAGATTTAAAACATTATTCATGCTCGTACTACTAATGATTATAACACAACAATGTGATATGGGTGAACTAATGAGATTGTCGAATAACTAGTGTTTCGGTTGGCATAATATTCATAATAATAACAACAGTAATAGTAATTACGTATAAATATTAAGCCATTTAATTTCTACTTACTTAACAATTAATACATGGTAACAACAGCAAATGCAAAAAAATTGACATTTCAAAATGTACAGTAACAGCATAGATAAAATATCATGATCGGGATTTACATATCATGTGTAATGATAATTATTGTAGTTATTTTCATTTATTTTTATTATGCTTTTTCTCTTTTGAATACTGACAATGAAATAATACAAATTTTATAACTAAAACACATGGGGAAGGACAAACAACAAACAATGTAGGAAATGCTTTAGTGAAAAGAAGGAATTCATCACAATTCATATATGTATACCGACCTTGATGTAGGGCAGTTGAAGGCAATCAACAAGAAACTCTGACCTCAGTTTGGTAGTGATTAGTAGATTTTATCAACAACAACTATACAACATGATCACTTTTTTAAATTTTTCGTCAACATACAGAACTTCATCTATTAAATTAAGAAATTCAATTTTGTAATGGTAAGATTTGATAATTATAATACCATATAAAAACCAATAAAATTTCCATTTTGATCATTATTACTTGCACCAACTAAAACATTTGTTCAGTTTTCATAATCTTTTAACCACACTTTTTAAATGCTGTTCAACGAAACGAGTCATTCGTATAAAATCCGAAGTGTAAAATATTAATGAATTTATTTTGTGAAAAGTAAGGAAATTACATAAATTATATTTAAAGAATATATCAAGTAATAAATATAAACTTACTTGTCCTGCTCTATGGCTTAACAAAGATAATTCTTGAGCGAGAAATTGGAATGCACTATCTTCTTGATTTGCACCTACAACAACAAGGAAGTAATATATATATATATATATATATATATATATAGTTACATAAATTATAATAATAATAATAATATATTCTGAAAATAATATTTACAGAATTCACACCAGTTTACAGACATGATCAGATTGTTATGAAAATCAACATTTAATGTAAAGAACAAACATGAAATATAAGAAAGTTTTATGTTTGCTGGTTTAGTAATTGATAAATAGTTTAAATATGGCATATGTCACGGCAAGCCAATACAACACCAGGGAACTTTTTAAGTGGATAGCCTGATGATTGATCAACATTGTTCTGTAAAGTTATTACCAGTGCCAGAGCGAGTTATTATTAATTATACTTTTCGGAAAATTTCCAAACGATTGTAATAATTCCAAAAATAAATCGGGTTAAGAAATTAGAGACGTAGTGATGCCTGAGCCAATATTCAACAAGGAAAATTAATAAATGTGCTGACTTGTTGCAATCAGTTATAAATATTTCGTCCGTCTCATTACTAACCAAACAAAAAGAATGCTATTTACGTGATGCTATTAAACTGATCTCTGAAAACAGCTTTCTGAAGGACACACATATTTCGACAGTGTTCATAAAACATTGAAACAATGCAATGATGTATTTTTTAGTGAGTGTAAAACGTATTTGTAAATCTGCTTGGAGCCCTCCTACAGTTAATACCAGTCCCGAGCCCTGATAAAAGAGGTTTAGGGAAGGGGTTGGCAACCCCATCCCGTGAAAATAAATCTCGCTAAAAGGCGCAATTATTTCTAAATGACGGGAGGTGTTGTAAATGATCCAATGCAATTTTGGTCCAATTTAGTGACTAAGTGCAGATAAAGTATTGGGACATATTTGTTTGAAAGACAGTAATACTACACGAGTTCCAAACGGAAGTGAAATGGTAGTCAAAGTGGTCGAATTTAGAGTATTTTAACCATTAATTCACTACTCTTAGGAATTATTAGCACCACGGTACAGAAAATGAGCATTGTGAATTATACTACTTCTACAACTAATATTAATAATAATTATAATTATACTGATAATAATAATAATAACAGCGATGATGATAGAAAGGATCTACAAACAGCATTTATTTTAGGAATGTAACAGCGAATTCATTTTACTGACAAATTTTAGCAGGAAAAGTTATATATACAATCGTCAAAATTAGTTCAAGAATGAAATCAGAAAATCAATTTGAACAGTTTAAACAAACTTATTTAGTTATTAAAGGTGCTAATAACATTTCTACTATACGTTGAAAAATTAGCATCATAACATACATTTGGGATCTGCATTCAATACACTTTTCGAAATAGATAAACATGACTTAGAGACAGAAGAACGTTGGCCAAAATCTTCACCACGAAGTTGTGAGTCAACGATCTGTTTTTTTTTAACATAAAGGAAAACGATCTAAATAAAACTACTCACAATGAGATTGGTAAACATAAGATTGTAAACACTGTTAAATTTGAAATTTCGTACATCATTCGAAATGTGCTCGAGTTTAATAAGATTCCTGACAACCAAGCATTCACTAGTTGTGAACAAGGTACCGGTTAATATATCGATGGAGATGAAAAATCTGTATTTTATCGTATAATATCTAATTCTTCTTCTACACAAACATTTTTTGGAAACCAAATAAATTCGACTATGAATCATTGGTGAATGGGATCAGACAAGCTTACGATAAATCTGCGTTCTAATAAATCACGTTCCTCGGTGGGCTAACTAATTTAGGATTTCAAATAAGAATGGTTGCATTCATGTTTGATGCTAACACGAATCAGTCATACGTAACCAATGTAGTATGTGCTATAGATTTGAGTCATTAAACGTTTTCTTATTATATCATCAGGACAAATAGAAAAAGTTGAGATAGCAACAGTATCCACCTGTGGATTTTTGCGACAACATATTTCTACTTCAGTTAGCATTGTAAATTAGGATAGGAGGTGGTTAGGCATATGTGACACATCCCCTTCAACTTTCATGATCGATAAAATTCACAGATTAATTAACCGATTTACAATCATTGCCTAATGTTATTGTAAGTTTATTTTTAGAATCGGTCAGCCTATTATTCTATTACATACAACCAATAGAACAAAGACACTAATATTAAAACGTTTTACATGTATTCCTACTAAAAAAAATTCAAAAAGGCTGGAATATTGTATACAGGGAATCAATATTTGGTAGAAGTGTAGCTTAAAAAAAACAACTGTACTCCTTTGAAATGTTTTTGTATATAATCAAAAAAAAGTCTATTACGAAAAGTATACCGAACATTGGATAAAGTTTTCCTAACTTCTAAATTTGACGGTAGGTCATTCGATCATTAACAATGTCAGATCCGACACAAATATGGATTAGTTTAAGCTAAAACACTTTATATAAGTAAAACAAGAGAAAATCAGCAACCTGAGAAGTAAAAAAGTGGAAATTTATAATATCAAAATTTTGGCAATAAACAAATAAGATTTAAAATAGAATATAAAAACTGACCTGGTCACACTTATCTCACAGTGTGAAGGTTGAGGTAACGGATGCACAAGAACAGAAACGTTAGTAAGATTCATTAATATAAGTTTACTTTCCAAAAACTGTATAACAGTGTTCTTAAACAGCTAAAAACTTATTAACCAAATGGAAACAGATCTAAATGACTGTATGAAATACTAAAGATATTCGTTTTATACACCATAGTAAATAAATTGATTAAGATTATCTGAACTATAATTTTCCGTGTTATTTAAATAAAATAATTTACTACCGAAAACTTATGGTATAACTATATTCTACTAGTTACATACACAGTGTGTAAAACATGCCTTGCTTCTGAACTTCCAAATGTCTATCAACAACTGTATTTGAAAAAATATGATGTTTTGTCGAACAATATATAGTTAATTAGATAATTATACAAATAAACATAGATAACCTTTGGTTTATTTAAACTGCTTGTCGGAGCATTACCAAACTTCTTTGATTGATTTGTCTTTGGATTGAAATTCGTTGATAATTTATCATCTAGTAAATCTTCTGATTTTTCTTTTATTATTCTTGTTTGTTTATTTGCTTGATTTAATAATGGTTCATTATCATGAAGTGAAATTGATTTAAAATGAATTGGATAAACTCGAAGTATATTATCCATTGACCAAGTAAGTAAATGTACATTTTCTAAGCAGAAATGCAAAAGGAAACAAAGTAAATTAGGCAAATTTATTGTTATTGTGTAAGTTAAATAAATTCTGGTATTTTGATTCAGATTCAATTTTTAAATTAGCAACCTACAACATAAGATGAATGCTAAAAGTGAGTGCTGTAAATGAAGCACTCTGAAAGAGATATAAGTTAATCGATCCAATGTAAAGAAAAATCACGAAATGAATTGATATATACTTCTGTTGTATTTAAATAGTATGATTTCATAGCAAACAAAACTATTAACCCGTTTTGAAATAGATTTATAGAGGTTTCGTAAGAAATCGTAACTAAAAAGCTATTTATCCATTTTGAAAATAGAACAGTGATTCTTATGCGATATCGTGAATTGATTGAATCCAGAAATATGGATCATTGAATTTGAAATTATTCGTTTAAATAAATTATGTTCATCAGGAGATTTGAAAGTTTTAAGTTTAACTGTAAATTGGTATATTCATAGATGTGAGCGCCCCCAAATGCCCTGGTACGGCAGAGAGTGGGGAGAGTCACCTCTCCCTCTCGAAATACTCTCACATGGCCAAGCGTATACAACCACTGCCGGGGAAGTCCTACTCACTGCCTTCTCGTGGAGGGGGTGTCGTTTACGAAATTGAGAGAAGGAGAAGCGAATGTGCGGCCCTTTAACCGGGTTGGTGGACACGGAAAGTCCACCTAGGGGGGTTGAAAAACCCTGATTCCAAACCAATGGTGCACATGGGCTGCAGTATCCTGAGGGGACAAATGGCGTATGAATCAATCGTTGGTCACAGGCTACCATAGGACTACATCTCCTAACGATGCTCCATTGCCTTGTGGGTCAGACCTCTAGGTAAAAGACTCCGGGTGTGGCCCTTTAAGAAAATCACCTGCTTCAGATTGGGTACCCGGGCAGTATCACAGCCCTCACACAAATCAAATGAGATTTGTGCGGCGCATATGTATCTTCTGCTTTCTTGTACCGATATTTATGTGTTCAAATAAATAAAATAAAAATAGATGTGAGCTAACAGTGAAACATAACTGAAACGAAACAGCTTTTTTCAAACGACATCAGTCAATAACAAAAACTGTTAACAAAATGGAAATAATCTTTGCAAGTTACGGAACTTAACAAAAATAACAATGTCATGAACAGATAAGAGAATCAAAAGGAATGAAGTGACCTACATTGGGTATCGAAAGAAATGATGAGAAAAATTAAGATGCTAGTGTTTAGAAGAAAATAACAGTAAGAATGAGAAGGATAACAGTAAAGCGCCAAAAAAATTGTAGCCCTATCAAACACTGCAATTACAATGTAGCTACACGATTTGTTAAAAGAAATAGTTCTTTTCAAGTTGACATGATTCTTTTCATATATACACTTAGTTTGTCCTTATTTTCTGAATACTTTATGTACATTTTTTTTAACATTGTGTGTAAAAAAAACATATGTGTTATGAGTTTGAATAAATGGACTGGATAATTACATTGCACTAATAGCAACAGTAGTTGATTAATTTCATAGTGCTTAAATTTCATAGTACTAAAAAGCACGTCTCGAAAGATAGTTATAAATATTTATGAAGTGAATGGTAAATAATTAACCATTAACTCTACATTCATTTAGTATTGTTTGTCCCAGAGTGAACATCAACTCTAAAATGCAGGTACATCCAGCTGACGAGTCCCAAATAGGACGAAACGTGCGTCAAACTGGATTCCACTGCTAGCCACTATCCATCTTTGATTACAATATTAACTCTATAGTTATTCATATCTTTTAAAATAATTGTTAAAATCCATTAAAAAATCTCTTCTAATTAATAATGCTTTTTTTTAAATGCGACAACTAGAAAAACAATCCAAAGTGATCAATTAATTTGAACATTGAAAACTAATCAAGTAAAAAAAAACCGGCAGAACATCTACATTTTATTTGATAAAACAAGAGGAAAATACAAATTATCAAAATTGAATTGTGTCGATTACATTCAGTTATAATCAATAAAATTTCAACTGAACTACTTGTTAAGAACAGTGACAGAATACTTTTGAGTATTAGTGTTAACTATTTCATGAACAAGTGTTACTTAGTACCTTATTTCTTTTATTGTTTTGATGAGAAGCATAATTTTATCAACATTGTAGTAATTATTCAGGTTACAGTTTCGTAATCTATAATTTGAAGCTAATTACAATAATCAGACAATATTTCTCACATTAGTTCTAACCCTAATTTTAGATTTATCGGATTAAAATAAATTTTTATGTATGGAACAAATAAGACTTTGAATAATAAAGAGAAACATTATTAAGCCTGATTATGGAACTTACAAATGAGTACTCAAGTGGAAACTGTCAGATACATTAAGCATATACAACTAGACAAAAGTATAAAAATTAACTTTAGATGTTAAAGAATAACAGTTCCCAACCTACCTACATTTGTGCTACATTAAAAAGTACATAAGGTTGCTGGTAGATGATTTTTAGGAAATTATACAGAAGACTTTAGTGAAGGATTTTCAACCTACAATAAAGTTGTGGAATCAATAAAATATTTTTCTACACAGGTAATTTGAATTATACGACACAGTAATGCACTCTATACAAACGTGTGACTAAGATATGATAACTGAGGTTGAACAAACAAAGATTACATTTACGAAATATTCTTTGGATTTGAGTTTATAACCGGTGTAATAGGAGCATTGAATAAAAACTGGTAGTATTCTCACATCCAAGAATGTTTCCATATGAAGTTGTGAATACACAACGATTGAGTCAGGTGTTAAGTGTTGCATATGTTTATCTACACTCTAAATTTAAGTAATATATAAGGTGAAATGGATCTATCCAGGGTAGAGTTGCCGTAAGATGAAATTATACTAATTCACGAAATGAGTAGAACTGGACAACTACCATTTAAATAGATGGAGTTCAATCAAAGGTGTAAAGCAGTGTTTGTTGAAAACGCCAACTATTTAATTAAAGTGAATTTGCAATACTAAGTGGTAAATTTGTTGAAACATTCGATTTTTAAATAGTAGGTCGAAGATTGAAAGTACCTTCTCAAGCAGTTCGGATTAGATAGCTGGATAATACCATTAGCATTACCAACCAAAGCTCAAACAAAGCCTAGTGTACAAAAATGTATACTAAAGTATGTAAAAAGTGTAATTTAATTATTGCTTAACATATACACATATCAGATAAGCAAGAATGTGATAACCTACAAAATAGATTCAAAAGGAAAATGAGCTATTTTTTAACACTAGATAATTGTAAACAATCAGAAAACTATTAAAGTTTAAAATTTACAATATTCTATATAACATCAAACTTTTATTACTCTATTGATTGACTGTCAATAATTCGAAACATTTTCCAGTGTTAAGATGAGAAAAACAAAGTATACACTAACTGTTGAATTGAGTAAAATAGTATAAACTAGATATAATATTAAATTCATTTAGTATTGTTTGTTTGAATCTTCCCATCGATGTGTTAGGACTGCAACTAGTGAGTCTCTAATTGGCATACGTGCATACTGTGCAGATTGCTTCGATATAGCCTTATTTCACAAGCATTATAAGCAAAGATGGATAGTGGCTAGCAGTGGAATCCAGTTTGACGCGCGTTTCGTCCTATGTCAACTTTAAGTTACTTTTTATTACTTATGTTACCTTATATTGAACATTAAATTTAATAATCAACCAACTAGACGAATACATCAATATAAATTGCATATATCTGTATGTGTATAATAAATTAAAACAAATATTGATCTTTAAGGAAAGATCTACAGTGGCTAGCAAAGGAATCCAGGATACACGTTTCCTCCTATTTGGGACTCGTCAGCTGGATGGAACTGCATCTCAGAGTTGATGTTCACTCTGAGACTCGGACCCAGTACCTTTCGTCTCAAACGTTATCGCGTTATCCACTCAGCTACTGAGTCCTGATAGCCACTTGCTTCTGCGATGGGGTGACATTTAAATTCACTTAGTATTGTTTCTTTGAACAAAATATTATTGTAGCATAAGACCAAGACTATATATATATATATATATATATATATATATATATATATATATATATATATACCGTTAACATAGCATTACAAAAAATAAACGAGATTCCATGACGCATAACAATGCAACTACTCATATTTCTAGACCTTATTTTTAAATTATTGCTTAAGTGATTGCATACGTGCAATGCATATTGAGTTACATTAAAATTATGGGGAAAAAAGAAACAGATTTACCGTGTCCATCATATGAACAGCGAACAAAATAGTAACAATAAAACTACTATGAATATCATATTGATAGCATAAACAGAAGAAAGTAATAACAAAAAATGATATAAAACGATTTATTTACTGACGTACTCTTAGGACAATACTCTAAATTTTGATTTGTTGTCGACATTTCATTATCCAGAATAAAATTTGTCGTTAATTCATGATCATCTGTCATTGTCGATGAAGAAAATGGGAGATTTGAAGAGGAGCATATCAACCAATTCATATCTAGTATATATGAATCTGTAGAACGTGGTTGACAAATCTGCTGATCATTTATGTGATTATTATTATTATTACCATTATTATTGTTTGAATTCACCATACCATTAGTGGACGTTTTATTGACAGCAATCCCACTATTTTTAGTGTTACTATTATCATGACTTTCTATTACTTGAAATAAATCATGAGATTGTGTCAAATTGGCACTGGACCACACAGATATCCCATGAACTGACCAATGAGACTGCTCTGGTAAAATAATAATATGATCACCTGAAGGCTAGAAAAAAAGAATGAATAGTAGTATTAGTAATAACAGTCATAATAATAATAATAATCTTAATACGTATAAGTAAGATACGAAAAAGCATGAGTAAAAATTTGATAAGAAAGCGTTAACTCAGAGTAAAATAAAAAATGGTGGAAACTGTGCATAAAACAGCAGGTATTATTTATATTGTGTTAAACAAGAACAGTCCATTGTCAGCATATGATTTACAAATTTGTAGCTAGGTAAAAGCTGTTATACTGAATTTTAAGCCAGACTTTGTTTGATCGCAAGTAATTATAGCTAGAGTAGTTGGATTGTGATTTACAGAGCTACTTAAACAGTTGACAATTCTGTACATCAACCATCAAGTCATCACACACCAAAGGGGAATCGTGTAAGTTTATATAGTTGATATCCAAACAGGGTGAAAGAATCTCAAACAAACTCTTTATAAACAAGTGGTATAATAAGTTTCTACAACTGTCAAGGACCAATAAACAACTAGTTACGTAATCGCAAAGTTCTGAAAAGCTCTTATTTTATGCTTATTGAATTCAATTGTAACCAATGTTTCGCTGGTCTAAAATCCATTCGTATTCTTGAACTTTATAAGAAGTATTTGTTACAAATCCACTAAAGTTAATATTAATCATAACTGGGGAGCACTGGACCGATGTTTCGTCTCATAATTTATCAGTCACGTAATATCACTAGGCTTCATATAACAGATGTTCATCACAATTCACTGCATGAAACTACAAACAATTCAGACGACACATTAATTAATTAGTAAATTATGAGCTTACAGTATAAATTACTTTCTTCAATTTGATTTCATGAAATCGGACCTTTTTCAGAGGATATGAAGGATTTTCAATATCCCATAGGCGCATTTCAGAACATTCATTGACTGTCACCATTTGATTGACATTCTGAGGCGACCAATCAAAATCACGAACGTGATCAGCTTGTACAGAGATGTACTGTTCTGGAACGTTAGACTGAGTTTAAAATACACAGCAAAAAAGGATTACAAATAGTTAACAAACCGTTTAAATAATAAATAATTGTCTAGAATATATTAATTGTATGCAACCTAATCCTGTAAATAGGTATTCGAGTTTGGGACTTCAGGATGTGGGCCCTAACAGCGCTGCACAGGTTCAAGGTTTTACGCTTTAAAATAGCACAGGAAAAGTAAAACCTGAAAAAAAGTGTATTAATAGAGCTAACATGAAAGATATAGGTTGATAATGAAAAAAGAACCCATGGTAATGGATTATATACAACTAATAAAATGAAGAGTGAGCGAATTTGTATCACTAAGTCTATTTTCGTTCAGTGAGACCCACAGTTTACAACCTATATTTTTATAGCCATTTTGTCATCCTGAGAACCTTAGCATGGAAATCCACGCCTTAACATACTATCCAGTCTAGGAATTAGTGACGTTTTGGACTAACCAAAGTCATGTATGTTGGAGTAGATACGAGCAACAAACAATCTCTATTTGTGCGGATTAACAACCCCATTAGTTGGATAAATCTCCTGTCTTAAAACTTCGCACGAAGCCTCAACATTATCCAATCAATAAATCCACTATATACGAGAAATCTTTCAGAGACACCTACGATCTAGTAGCCAACAGATATATCAATATAGAAGAAATTTCAAAATGAGATTTAAATAAAACATTTCTGACTACGTTTACCCGCAAATCCCAAGTACGAACACCAGATGAGTGACAGGTTGCAAATTTTCCACTCAAAAATCTATTCCATTTGACAATAATTGGTGAAGCTGAGAATACAAACAACAATAGTTTTATCGAATTATTAAATTAACATGTATCGAAATTCGTCAAACTTTATTGGAAAACATTCAGAGGAAAGATAGAACGATCATTTCAACTTTGAATTTCTTATCAACGTGTGTACACGACCGCGTACATGATCAAATTTAGGACCTTGCTGTCTCGCATTAAATGCAATACCTTTAGGTTGATTGTTAAAAATATAATGATCCAAATTTTCAACTTCATTCAATTCATATTACAAAGGGACTATAATTCAGTGACACTATGAACAATTGCTTTATTTATGTATTTGTTTAGTAGCAAATCTTACAAGCGAAATTTATTTGAATTCATTTTTGTATTGGTTGTTTAAATTTTTTCATTGATGTTTAGGACTGTAATTGATCAGTCACTTGTTGGCATATGTGCATCCTGTGTGGACTGCCTCGGTTTTGCTTTAAATCACAAGTATTATAAGCAGAGATTCAAACAACTAATACAAAAATGAATAAAAATTCACCGCATTGAACAAGCTAGTGACTATCTGGAGTAAGTAGCCAAGCAGATAATGCGATTTCGTTTGAAGCGAACGGTACTGGGTTCGGGTGCCGAGTGAACTCTGGGATGAAGGTACATACAGCTGGCGAGTCCCGAATAGGACGAAGTGAGCCTCCTGGATTCCACTGTTAGCCACCATCCATCTCTGCCTAGAAAATTATTTTGTTTATCGTTTTTATTTTATCTTATGACCTACATCCTAGAGAATGAAGAATTTTATAGAGTAGTTAACATAGTCAATTCACGATGTTTCTATATGAAATATTGATATATGTGAGTCTGCATGCATAAACTATTCGCATGCTAATTTTCTGAATAACAAGAAAGTTGATGATAAATAAAACCATTAGAAATTATGCAGATTTCATTAATAGCTGCTTTCTCAGAAAAGCGATTATATATATATATTTTTTTCTTAGTTATTCCTCTTATATAATGTCAAGTTAATGATATAATAAATAATATTCACAGAGTTTGTCTCCCACTTTTTAATGTTCAAGTGATGGATGTTTGAAGATGGTAGTTTATTGTTTCATTACTTCAAATCGTTCAAAAACATAGTCGATCAAGTTGTCACTACTACTTACCACTACTCTCCTTAAATAAAATACAGCATATCATATTTTCCGAAGTAATCCAATTAGTTATGATGCAATCAGAGTTCTAAAATAATTATAAATCACTTAATCCTTTTGAGGGTTGAAAGAGTTAAAAAAAACCGAACAAAGACGGAAATAAAAATATGAATTTTCAATAAAGCGAAGACTGTACGATACCTATATATATATGTTTTTTTTTTCCCCAAATAAGATTTTTGAACAGAATAGCTTGACAACATAATAAGTTCATCATATATATTACGAAGAAGGCGTACCTCTTTTTAGAAATAATAATACCGTGTACTAATCCTTAAGGATAGCAGCTTTAAATCTATTTAAACATAAAACTACAGTTTCACTGAATGTTCAGAAGTTCTATTGAATAATCACCTAAGATCGAATTAGAAACTAAAAATGAAAGATCCGATCAGATCAAGAAAAAAGAGAGAAATAAAAAGAACTAACTTCAAAATAGAAAGAAAATTAATGATAAATATGAATAATCGAAACAAGAATTTAGTTTGTGTATATAGATGATTCATCCACCCAGTTTTTAGCGAACAAAATTCAAACAGATTTTTATACTGAATTAGAAAGAGAAAGGAAAACATTGTAAACAGGCAGATAGGCAGGCAAAAATGTAGGTAAAAAAATAAGTTGGGAATAATCAGTAGACAAAAAAAAGAAATGAAAACAAAGCAAATTCCCAAAAGAAAAATATGAAGGGCAAAGATATAAGTGTAATAATTTGGTTATATGATGCATGAGATTTATTTTTCTCTTTGTTATTGTTCTATTTTAAACAAAAATAGTATTCAATTCATTTAGTATTGTTTGTTTGAATCTTCCGATTGATGTTTAGAACTGCAATTGATCAGTCTCTTATTGGCATACGTGCATGCTGTGCATATTGCCTTGATATAGCCTTAATTCACAAGAATTATAAGCAAACAATACTAAGTGAATTTAAACTTCACCCCATTGCACAAGCAAGTGGATATTATGACTCAGTAGCTGAGTGGATAACGCAATGGCGTTTGAAGCGAAAGTTACTGGGTTCGAGTCCCAGAGTGAACATCAACTCTAAAATGCAGGTACATCCAGCTGACGAGTCCCAAATAGAACGAAACGCGCGTCAAACTGGATTCCACTGCCAGCCACTATCTATCTTTGCTTACAAAAATATTATTGCTTCACCTTATCACAATATTTTATAAATTTTTTATTTCAATGATTATGCTGTTTTTTCATTTTTTTTCATTATTATGAATAATATTTTTTTAGAATTAATGATAGTAATCTATAATGAGACAGAAACTAGTTTATACATGTTCCAAAGAGATAGAAAAGAAAATAAAGGTGAACAATTTTTTTATCTGATGTCTCATTGCATAAAAGTAACGAAAACAATGATATTGCTTACAGAGAAAAGTACAATGAATTAAAGTAACGTGAATAGAGAAATCGTATTAAAAAACAAACAAACAAATAATTCTCATAGTTGAAAGCGTGGGTCGATTGAAGCTAGACCACCAGGGAAAACCTGGAAGCACTGGACGGCCGTTTCGTCCTATTGTGGGACTCCTCAGCAGTGTGAATCTACGACCTCGCATCGCGAGATTCGAACCCAGGACCTACCGCGTCTGTTGTGAGATATCAACTCACCGAAGACAATTGATAAACAGTTGCTTAACTTCGTGGATTGGTTGAAGTTAGACATAAACACCATTGGATGCCGGCTCAGTGGTCTATTAGTTAAATGCTCTGGCACGAGACTGGTAGGTCCTGGGTCCGAATCTCGCGAGGCGAGGTCGTAGATTCGCACTGCTGAGGAGTCCCACAATGGGACGAAACGGCCGTCCATTGCTTCCAGGTTTTCCATGGTGGTCTAGGTTCAATTGACTTACGCTTTTAACTATGAAAATACTAAATCTCCACAAAACCCCTTCTGATAATAAAACAAATAATTCATTTTCACTTCTTATTCTGTAATATTCATGGTATTATTGTAGACTGTTTAAGTAAGTTGATAGTTGTAAAATTAAACAAATGCAATATAAGTCAAGGTAGTTTAATATGTTAGTACTACACATTGAATAAAGAGTTAATTTCAAGGAAGTATGAAAATATATTTTCCGAATGAATTATCCCTTGGTTAATTCGATTTATCTGATCATTGACCACATTAATTTATCAAGACTTTTTTTCAATTTAATCGACTGATTACACAACATGAAATTCTACTGAATATAAGAAATGTAATATTATAAGGACGAGAGTAAAGTGTCTTACATTATAGTGAAAACCATATAGAAGATCAAGATTACTACGAGAAAGTATTCTGTAAACCTCAGGTACTAGATAAAAACAAAAACAAGTTTATACCGTTTTAAACTGCATGACGCTTTCCACATCAAATCTGTTTCAATTCTTAAAAAACTCCACACAAAATTGAATAATGGATTAGTGATAGACTTACAAAGAGATTCTATAGCTCGAACTGGTCTTGACATATCTCTTAAATCCCAAACACAAATAGCACGAAATTGATCTGCAGATGTAGTAGCTATAAGAAATGGATGGACTGGACTCCAATCCAGTGAATTGATCACACGAACATATCCACCCAGACTAGTGTTTGTACTTAATCGACATTCATTGACATCCCAGAGAAGTAGTTCACATCTATTGCAACGCTAAAGAAATATTGAGAAACCAAAGACAGCAACATATTTAACTATACACAAAGCACCTTCAGTAAACGGCCACAAATCTATGCAATCATGTATGAAAAAAAATGTTCAGATATAAGCACTGAAACTATTTACTATGAAACGGTGACCTCATAGTATTGCAGTTACTAATGGTCGTTAGGTAGCCATGTAGAGAACAACTATGTATTTAAAGTATAATATCTTTCTATAAATAAACACGAAAAATAAAAATATATCTAAAACAATTAGTCCCTTTGATAAACTTCGATAATGTAATGAACGACGAAGTAATGTAATGAAGACGAAGTTTATCAGAATGATATGATATATTTGCGCAATACATTTCGAACAATCTGATCACACATATACTTGTTACGACTTACTTTAAACTGTCTAGTTGACCTTTTAATTTTAATATAAAAGTGTTTTAACAAGTATATGTGTGATCAGATTGTTCGAAATGTATTGCGAAAATATATCACATCATTCTGATAAACTTCGTCTTCTCATTGCATCATCGAAAAATATATCTGTCCAAACTTTTGAAAAAATAAGTTGCGTCATTGGAAAATGGTGTAAATGATAGGTACATGGACCATTAAGAAGTTAGTCAGTTATGGACAATTTAGGACCTGAGACGAATAAGTACCGATCCAGGTTTCAAAAACTCGTATAATGGAGATCAGAAATCGGTAGAATGAGAAGCATAGATTTTGATCAAGTATTGTTCTCTGAACTGGATGGTTGGCTCGTGTAGCTTTCATCGTTATTCTGAATGACATCATCAGTAAAAACTTCAGGTAGAAGTGAAGTGTTCGAAGAAGCATACTAAAGGTACTGTGGTATGGGTTACTTATATCCACATGAGTAGTATATGGTGATGGTCAGGCAATGAATGTATTTCAGCAGAAGGTCGATAAGGAAAGAAGGGGAACAAAACGCAATTGGTATGAAAATGCATGAACAATTAAATCAGAGACGATGGACTGATATTTGCAGAAGGAACAGTCAAGATTGAGACAATTGATTGATAGTTTGCAAATTAACTGTTTACTTTATGGTTGTCAGATTTTAATGAAATATTCTGTACTTTCCGTGTCAAATACATTCGATTGTCCCCACTCGTGTTCTTGTTCACTACAGTACTAGTATCAAATGAAGTTAAAAACCAAGGGAAAGAAATATGGTTCTAAAGGGGGGGGGGTGAGAACGAAAAATGAAAAAGCATAGAACAACAATAAACTCAAGATTGAGAAAAAGATCGAGAATGAGTGCAAATACACCACTGCTACAAGATTTAGATCATGTAACTAAATATATCCAACCGAAGATTACTTTAATCTTGAAACGTCTAGACAGAAAATCAGCACATTTCTAAGCGAGAAGTCACCAAATCCAAGACACAACATCTGCTTCATATTGCCGAGTATTCAAACTGACATTTGACAGTAAATAAAACACATTATAAACTATTTGGTTAAAAAAATTGGAAAGAAGGTGAACAGCTATGACTTACTGCAATTGCAAGTTTCGTATGATCATTTGGGTGCCAAGCAAGTCCAGAGCATCCTAACTTTGAAGGTAAGGAAAATCCACTGTACTGTGAAGGATGTTTCAATGGGCATATTACAAGTTCATCAGTTCTACATAATAAATAAAAACAAAAACAACAAACCATACATGCACAACCTTACTAAAGTTATAAGAATTTGTCATAGTTTAAACATGATTTGAACAATAATGTTAAATTAGCAAAAAGTAATCCAAATTCTCATTCTATACTTATTTATACATTACCATTATCCATTTAATACCACGATATGCTTTTAAACAATTGCGAAACAAGTGTACTCATTCGTTGGGCATTGAAAATCTTTCTTTAAATGTTACTTTATATAACGATTAGTGAATAAAAGAATTAAATTTGTCAGCAGATAATTTAGTCCTAGCACACTGTCTTATATTACAGCTTGAAAACAACCAATTTATTTCGACCATCGATTGATTTAACCAGAACAAAAGATAAATAGACGACACTTTTACAACGAAAATATTGACTTAATTGACATTTTGAGTTCTTTCAATACATGCTATACCTTCCTAGACTTCATCTTAGAAAATGAAGTAAGTCATTTTATCTCACTTCACAATATGCTTCTGATAAAGGGTGGTGAAACCTTAGAAAGGTTCATTTACAGAAAACAAACATGGAATGCCCGACTAACCAACTTCTATGTTCCATTAAGCAGAAAAAGTAATCTTATTCATTTCTCATGTTACCGAAAACATACAATTTGTAGTACTAGATGCACTGAAAAACTTGAGTTTCTCAGAGAAACTGGCTGAAAACGGCTATCCAAGCCGTTTTGTAGAGAACATGAAAGAAATTAGAAGCAAAGAAACCGGAAATCCTGTTCCAAAAAATATTTTTGCATGAATCCGGAATTTAAAGGTGACCGAAATTCTGGTGTATTTAAAAATCGGTTGTCGATAGCTATGCGGCAAAGCTGAAACTAACGTTTGCTAGTAGAAATTTGTCTACCGTATCTGTAAAGGTTAAGTTCCTTCATCTAATTGCCCCTATGTGCATACAACAGTTCACCTGTTCTTGTGAAGCAAAATACGTAGGCTGTAGCCAGCACTTGCTTTTAACTCAGATATGATAACATGTTCCAGTGTGAGTCTATAAAGGTGAGAGAAAAGAGTTAGGAATACTGTTCAGGAATATTTAATCTTTAGTGGCCCTAAATTTAAATACCAATTAAGCTGGATAATTATGTTATCGACGGGCTCACCACCACTAGTGTGGCCCTTTATCTGACTTCAGTTAAATCATATTATGATTGCAATCGAAATATACATCCCAGATACCCTCGTATACATTCACTGAATTCACTCGCGTCAGTGAATAACGGAATTAAATGAATAAAATGAGAGAAAGGGTTTCGAATACGTATACTTCATACAATTATTGATCCAGACAGATGATCAGAGAAATGAAGCGGAGAAAGCGAAGAGAAACGAAGTGACACTCAGAAGAGAAGGCAAATGAGCCAATCCAATTTCGATCAAACGGGATTCAATATTTATATTCAGATAAAAATAAATTACAAACACATGATGGATAAGGCAACTAATTAACACATAAACGATCATTTTAAAAAAACAGTCAGTATTAATAAGCGAATAAATGACGTCAAAATGTAGCTTGAGAAGAATGAATATCCAGAAGCTAGAATAGCTTATGTTGGCTTGACATAGTACCAGCCCACTACAAATCGATCCTAGTGACGCCACTGATCAACAGGTTGATCTTTAGGTTGCTTATATAATTCGTCCAAACCTACCAAGATTTCTTGGTTTACAACTCCCTAAAACAACAGAAACTCTTGCCTCCCATGAAATGCAGCCAGAACAATGTGAACAAAAATAACACGTCCTGTCCTTAAATTTACTATGCCCTTGAACCATTATTATTATTAGCTTGTACAAGCTAGCGGCCGTCTGAAATCAGTAGCTAAGTAAATATTGCGAAGTCGTTTGAAGCAAACGGCAATGGGTTCGAGTCCCGGAGTCAACATCAACTCCGAAATGCAGGTACATCCAGCTGAAGAGTCCCAAATAGGATGGAAAGCGTATCCTGGATTCCACTAATAGCCACTGTCCGTCTCTGCTTATAGTGCTTGTGATTTAAGGCAAAACTGAGGCAGTCTGCACAGGATGCACATATGCCAATAAGAGACTGATCAATTGCAGTCCTAAACATCAATGAAGAGATTCAAACAAACAATACAAAAGTGAATTGTCATTACTGTCATTACATTTTTCATTTCGTATTTGAAAATACTCCCCTCTCTCTTTAATTATTTCTCACAACCTCATGACTCAATTCATAATTGTTTCCGACATCATTTCACTTAACCCCTCTATTACCTTTAATTATTGCAACAAAGACATTTTAATTATCCTATCCCATTCACATTATAATCCACTGCTATTATATTTAGGAGAACAACTTATTTTCATGTGCAAGCATCTGAGTATTTTCGAACTTTAAACAAAAAAGATTTCAATAATCTAACTCTTGATATATCTAACAAATCCTATTGATACACACGAAATCGGAAATAGAAGTTGACTTGAGACAAAGACAGTCGCACCACAGAATAATTCAACTCATTATGATAAGACGTAGTATTTGTAGGGGGATTTCTTTTTAGTGGAAGATTTCAACTAAATGTTTTCAAGTAGTAACCTTCACTAAATTATAAGATTTTCACCATCGAGCATTAGAACATGATATTTATCGTATTTAGCACAACTCAGCAAATTCCTTTGTATAAACATATATACAGACACATGACTAACAGACAGGACGCAGATTTTTAATGAGACCCCAGGTTACTTGTTTTTGCGTCATTGTTTGTTATTGGGTCGTATTAGAACGACAACACAATATTGGGAAGTAGTGAACTTCATTATTAAAAAGCTACTTTTTCTTTATATTCAGTATACACAAACTAAAATATTATTATTTATTTATTTATTTAATCACATATACATAGGTACAAAGGGCACCGGATACAAATGCGCCACACAAAATAATGAGAATGTGAGAAGTAAGAAGATGTGTATATATAAAAGAAGGAAAAAAAGAAGAGTAATGATGGGGATGGAACTGAAATGTACAACCAGAAGAGCTCTCTCAGTTAGGAAAGTTATAGTCACTCTTTATGAAGAAAGTAGAAGGTTACAGCAGGATCGCCACTGGCTTCTATTCTCAGCCATATCTGATAACGTCTCTAGCCACTGTGTTGCACCATCTCTCGGACCCCAGCCAGGGAGTCGTGAAGGACCAACAGAAGCTAGCCCTTTGCAGCTCTCTTTCATGCCACGGCACCATGTCATACACTGACCTCCTCTCCGCTTTTTCCAACCAGTCCCAGAGTCGGCAAATAATGCACGACGTGGAAGTCTCTGGGACGACATTCGTAAAACATGTCCAAGCCACCGAAGTCGGTGTTTCAAGATGGTGACACCAATTGAATTATCGTCTCTGTGCCCGAACACACGATGCCGAACCTCTGCGTTACTAACATGGTGTTGCCACTGAATGTCAGCAATCCTTCGGAGACAACGATGATCGAACACAGAGAGACGTCTAACATCCTCAACTCGGAGAGGCCAGGTTTCACAAGCATAGAGCAAAACTGCTCTCACCGACACGTTATAGATCCGACCTTTTACAACCAGACTAACATCACGAAAGCGCCAAAGATGGCCCAGATTGGCATAAGCCGCTCTGGCTTTCATTATACGTGCATCAATCTCATCACTCACGCCACCACCAGCACTTATGTAGCTACCTAGATACACGAACTTCTCAACTACTTCGATCTGCTCACCATCTAGGATGAGAATCCTGCCAGTCTTGTAGGAATACCTTGCACTTGGAGGGTGCAAAGCACATACAGTACCTGCGGACACTGATTGCCAACTGATTAAGTGCTGATTGCATGCCTTGGGCATTATCGCACAGTTAGACAATATCATCCGCATACTCAAGGTCCAGAAGTCGTTCTCCAGGCAGCAGATCCACACCGCCATTAATTACATCCATAAGAGCTGTCTCCAGGATGTCGTCGATGGCAAAGTTGAAGAGGAATGGTGAGATCGGGCAATCCTGCCTAACTACACTACTCGAATGGAACAAGGGAGAAAGGTGGTTGTATGCCCTCACTCTGACTGAGGTGTTCGTATACAGGGCCTTTAAGATGTTAATGAACTTCTCAGGCACGCCCTTCTTCAATAGACAATCCCAGAGAACAGTCTTGTCCAACGAATCGAAGGCAGCCCTGATATCAAGAAACACCTCGATTGTTGGCCTGCGATAAGTATGACGGTGTTCTAACATTTGGCGGAGGGTGAAGATGTGATCAATGCATCATCGACCAGAACGAAAACCAGCCTGCTCCTCGCGAGTCAATCGTTCTCGGGTTTTAAACAACCTACGAAGAATGACAGAAGCCAATAGTTTGGACACAATAGGAAGTAGACTTATCCCCCGATAGTTATTGCAGGAACAACGTGAACCCTTTTTAAAGATAGGGACGACTATCGACTCATTCCATGATGTTGGAACACTTTCTTGCTCCCAAACCTTTGCAAACAACACAGTCAATTCCTTAGCCAGAAAGTCACCACCATCTTTAAAAAGAGCCAGAGGTAAGTCATCTGGGCCAGGTGATTTGTAACGTTTCAAGAGTTGGAGTTCCTTGCGGACTTCCGCCTCGTTTGGTGGATCAGTCGTCACCGGCCATGGAGGGCAGGACAAACTGGTTGATGCTGCCGGAGCAGCAGGCCAGTTGAACTGCCCTTCGAAAAATTCCGCCCATCGTCCAAGACGTCGAGAGATATTAGTGATTGGCATCCCATCATCCTCGTAGATTGTTTCACTCACACCACACTTCTTGCTGCCAGTGGCTCGGATGAGTTGGAAGAGCTTCCGGCAGTTACCAGATGCAGCTGCTGCTTCCATCTCATTAGCACGCTCCGAGCACCAGGCTTCTCGGTCCTTCCGCACGCTTTGCCCGATTTCACTACGTAACAGCCTTCGTTTGTGGTCAAACTAACGGTCACCCGGAGTAGACCGACGGGCTTCCATCAGTTGTAAGGAGCCAGAAGAGACCCAGTGCTTGTAAGCGGGACGTTTCGCGAAGCCGCAAGCGACTTTACTCGCCATTTTCATGGCGTCGTGAAGATGCCAGCAATGTTCATCTATACTTTTCGGTGGGATGGTAGCTAGCCTAGAAGCTAGCTCCGCTCCATACTTACTTGAGACAGAAGTTGAAGCCAGTTTACTAACATCGATCCGTTGGTGGTGGTCAATCCTTCGGCCACTGAAAAGTAAGGTGAGATTGGCGCAGACCAGGGCATGATCAGACTCCAGATAGGTACTCCAAAAGGAGCGGCAGTCTTGTACACAACCACGCCAGCGGTAGCTGATCGCGACGTGATCAATCTGAGTCCAGGCTTGAGATGCAGAGGGAGGACGCCAGGTGGCACACCGGCGATGACTGTGCTGGAAGTTAGTGCTGGCCAGAAACAGGTTGTGGTCTGTGCACAGTTGCAGCAAACAGTCCCCGTTATCTGTCCTGTGACCAACAAGTCCCCATCGGCCACCTAAACGACTCTCTTCTGTGCCTAGACGCCCGACCTGTGCATTCAAGTCTCCGGCTAGTACTACAATATCTGTCGAACGCGCTTTCTGGAGAAGAACTGTTAACTGATGGTAAAACTCATCCTTGATTGCATCCGGGCTGCAATCTGTCGGGGCATAGGCGGAGATGACGAAAAGACACCGTTTCTCACGCCGGTTTCTTCTCACTTTGATGGAACTTTCTAATCTTACAGCACATAACCGACTGTTAATGGGGATCCAATCGATTAGTGCTGCCTCAGCTCTAGCGCTTAGTGCGACACCAACGCCAGCAAGACCAGACGAAGATGCCACAGGGTCCCCGGATAAGCGCACGTGAAACAAGCTTTTCGAGGCGACAGATGGAGAGCGGATTTGTAGTACTACACTAGAGTCTTGAATACGGATCTCGGATAGACAACAAACGTCAACATTAAGACCTTCCAAAGACATAGCCAGCCCTATCTGTTGTCTGATCTGCATTAGTGTGCGAACGTTGAAGGAAGCCAGCTTGAACGGCGTACGTGGTTTCAGAAAGACTGCTTCAGTATTCATAATCGGTGGAAGCATTTACTTGTTTCGTGTTCCAAATACATTAATTTAAAGAAAACATAATCCACGACTACAATAAACAAGTGAAGGAAACTCATCATCAAACAACTTTATTCAAAGAAGATTCCTAGTATTTTCATTGGTAAATATATATTAGAAAAATTAAGAACTTGTTTACCAAAGAAACACAGTCAGATAACATCTACTTTAACTTAAATGACAACAATGAGAATAACTGGAGCATTTATATTATCAAAATCGGATTCTCTTACTCACAGGCAATAAAAAAGTGAAACCATAAAATTGTTAGGGCCACAGAGTGCAAAATATTAATACCAGAGTAGTACACTTTATTATTCACATAAAACCTAATTAGGATTATTCGTTTACAATTGTAAACGCGGACATTTGGAATTTTTACAATACGCATGAACACAAAGTCTTTTAGAGACTTAATCAAGGAACCAGATGTTTTACTGCACAAATCCCTAGATAAATTTTCACATAAACTTATGACAAATCGATGCAAACAAAGATGGATAGTGGCTAGCAGTGGAATCCAGTTTGACGCGCGTTTCGTCCTATTCGGGACTCGTCAGCTGGATGTACCTGCATCTCAGAGTTGATGTTCACTCTGGGACTCGAACCCAGTAACTTTCGCTTCAAACACCATCGCGTTATCCTTGTGAATTATGGCTATATCGAGGCAATACGCACAGTATGCACATATGCCAACTAGAGACCGGCTAGTTGCAGTCCTAAACATCAATGGGAAAATTCAAACAAACAATACTAATTAATTGGTGCAAGGTTTTAGTCTTCTATTCCACTACGTTTACAATAAATCTTAATTTTTTTACACATGAATTAACACGTAATCACTAGATTACATATGTTGATTTCGAAGCGTTGCTTTTAATCAGTGCATTTTACAACAAATAATTATTGTGATCTATGGCGTAAAAGCTCTTTTAATACTAAACATTGTTTTCTTTTAATGTGTAGTATAAAAATTCTACAGTACAAAAAAATGTGATCTATGGAGTAAAACATAAAATTATACATGGATTCCAGGTTGAAATGGTTTCTACTTATTTGTTGTGCAGTTTCAAAATAAAAAAGTGATAACATTAGTTAAAGAAAGTAAGTACTCCAAATAAAAAATAAATACCTTAAGTTGTAGACATAAACACATTTTTATTACAAGAAATATATGAGTCGCACCAGATAATGTAATCTATCTGTTACACAAGTTTGTAAGAATTTAACAACAGCACAAAATCTGTTGAAAAAGATGCGTATGCATTTATCAACAGCATAACATTGTACAGCCAATATATATATATATATATATATATATATATATATATATATATATATATATAGAGAGAGAGAGAGAGAGAGAGATAGATAGGTATAGATATATAGTTATATGTAACTCACCCACATAATGCAACACAACGTCCTATAGGATCAGCAGCAATTTGTGAGATCTATAATAATAATAATAATAATAATAATAATAATAATAATAATAATAATAATAATAATAGTGGCAATAGTAATGATAATAATAATAATGGCAAAATATACAAGGTTAGTTAACATTTCGGAGCATTTAATTAAATATTAACTTCTTATCTATGAATAAAGCAGTTCTAAAGTTGGATTTCGAGCACAAACACATTCTGACTAAGATATTATGAATAGTTATACGAAACAATATGAAAATATCATGAAACACGATAGTACTGATCAGAAAACAAGAAATTCTATCCATATCAATGTCAAGGTTGGACTTGATAGTTTCAAATAAATTGAGTATTGAGGATAAAGTTAATCATAAATATATTTTTTGTTACAACCCAATGAGTAGAAAAGTTGCATTTCTGACGTTTCGTGACTTAATATGTAAGCCACATCTTCTGAGTAAATAAATAGCCGAATTAAAATAACACAAATTTATATTTGAAAGCGTGAGTCAATTGAAGCTAGACCACCAGGGAAAACCTGAAAGCACTGGACGGCCGTTTTGCCCTATTGTGGGACTCCTCAGCAGTGCGCATCTACGACCTCGCCTCGCGAGATTCGAACCCAGGACCTACCCGTTTCGTGCCAGAGCACTTAACCGATTGAGCACTCACACTTTTAACTATGAAAACACTAAATCTCCACAAAACCCCTTCTGACAAATTCATATATATATACTATTTGTGTTAATTTAATACGGCTATTTATTTACTCTGAAGAAGTGGCTTACATATCAAGTCACGAAACGTCAGAAATGCAACTTTTCTGCTCAATGGGTTTTAACAAAATATACTTATTGCCATGAAATTTTATGTAAAAGATACAAGTGGGATCATCTCTGGTCACTTTTTTTATGTCAGTAATTTAGTAAGTACTGCTTTCGAAAGTAGATAGTGGTCGATTGTATATCAGTCATCATGGTTTACGCACATAGACAACATCAAATACTTTTCTGTCGTCACTTAAAAAGTTATAATTAAGAATATTCACTAAAAATGAGTATATCCATCAAAGCAATCGCTTATCAAGTTACTTATGAAAGCTTAAGAACAAGTCAAACTAATTTCAGATTAGTAACAAATAAAAAAGCTATCAAAAAATCGTCTCAAGAAAATATGACATACCTGAAACCCTTTTAATTCCAATAAATTTGTATTATGATTAGTCTACAAATCAAGATAAATATATACATACGTATTAAATATGTAACAAATTATAAATAGGCAGTTCAGTAAAATAGATCACCGAAATGACTAAAAGTATATAGAGATTAAACGTTAACTTGAACAATCGAACTAGCATTATAAATAGAGTTCGATCATAATACCAGAGATTGAAGTTCATATCAGTGGAACAGTTAGTAGTGGGATAGTTAGTTAAATCCAGTAAAACTGGCGATGAGCCATTTGTGAGACATTCGCCAAGCTTACTTTGCTGAAATTTTAAGTCTTAAACCTCTAGGTAATCTGTATACGCAAAGACAAACAACGGAACGGTTCAACAGTACAGGTATCTACTTTTCATGTAATGGATTGATAAATTCAAATTTAAAATACCAATTGTTGTCCTACAAAAGCTCAATGAGGTTTTAAATGGATACAGTAACATTTAAACTGTTTTTGGAGCTATAATATGTTCATACTAATCACTTTTTATCAATTTTTTATACATTCATCCATCTATTATATAACATCCCAACGTCTTTTACTGCTATATAAATATTAAGATGATTATTGCAGTCATGTGAGTCACATACCAAGCACAAGTTTATGCGATTGTTATCGAGACATCATTTAAATGTACAAAAGCTGATGATATTATATGGCTCAACAGATGTAAGTATGTGGAATGGTATTCAAACCCGGGACCTATTTGTTGAAAAGTAATAAACTACCATCCCATTAAGTTAGTTTTTCGAAGCGAGCCAAAACCGAACACAAACGTGTACGCAACTGCTTCTAAGACTAATAATGTGATAGTACAACTTAGTAGTTATTTATGAATTAATACACCACACCCGATATGAATGAAAATAAAATAGAGAAAACTATGAAAGACTACAATCCTAGATAAATTGATACTAATATAGTTCTATGAAGCGCCATTTACAAAGCCACCATTTTATCAACTTATAATGAGTACACCCGACTCTCGCTCATCCTTTGCAATGCAACCAAGATATTGCCATAACGTAAAGAGACTGACAATCATGAACAGATAGTTGAATAGCTAAGTTCCTCATTCACATCGTTTAGGACAATCTGAAATAACTCCCCATGACAAAAAAAAGCAAATAAAACCCGAAATATGACACAGACTAGCTACTAAAAATATCATAGTTGTGACTTAACTGGTGAATCAACACATATGCTTCTTTGAAAATACGAATAAATTATAGACAGTATAATAGTTTCTTAAATGTTACTTTGGTAAGCTTATATTTAATACTTAAAGCAAATGGTAACAAATGTGGTGAAACTGATTTGAATCAATTACGAAATGACCGACAATCGAGTACATGAACCACCACTATACAACCGTTTAGAGTTTGAAAAAAAAAATCTAATACATAGGACCGTTGGAATACTTCGATGAACTGTCTAATAACACAACACATTTAACCAGATCTAATGTGTAACTACTATCTGTCATATACGTTATAATCTATAAATGACGAACGAAAGTCAAGTTAACAGTAGGCAATAGAAGATACTAGCTCTAGAACTTGAAAAACATCATATTCCTCTTATTAATAAGTCAACAATCAGGGCATCAACAAAAATTCAAATAAGGCGCAGAACAATACAACATAGTGTATATTAAGATAGCATTGCAATAACAATAGAACTATACATTTATGTATAAAAACTTTACAAATATATATGTATATGGGAAAAGTGAAGAAAACAAAAACAATAAACGACAGTAGGGAAAAAACAAAGCAGATTATTAGTTGAGATCAATCAAACTACATAAAATAATTTTCCATTATATTAAAAACAACAAAATATGATAAACAGAATCAAGTGTGTTCCGAATAATAATAATAATAATAATAATAATAATAATAATAATAATAATAATAATAATAATGGTAAAAAGTAATAGAAACTTTGGAAAAAAAACCCCTGGTAGAATGAAGTTAACAAGGAAGTTTTAACATTCTAATTGGTAGCTAAACAATAAATATTTTAATTGGAGACCATAAATATGTGCACAGCACATTGCCTTCGTGAAATGTGAACAAAAACAAAGAGGAAAGTTAAAAGTAAATATACAAATATAATACACCTACATGAATATTCACATATTTGGTTTTTTTAATTTTGATAATATATGTACATTTACAACATGGTAAATATCGAATAAATAAAAAGTGTAAATGTTACAGTACGTGTATAAAGTATTAAAGGCACTAAAGAGTGACTCCCTTTATTGATAGATATTTCTAATTTGATACATACAACAACAAGGTATGACAGGGTTTGCATTAAATACATTTCATACACAGCAGACATTAGACTTTATTTAATGCTTCATTTTAAGTAAAATTTCTCAATGAAATATAATTAGTTATTTTCTTTAAAAAACAAACGATAGTAAAGGAAACAACAAATTAGACAACTTTATACAATCAGAATAAAAACTATCATCAAGTGAAAATAATTTCTAGAAAAAAAAACAGAAGAGGAATTAGTTAGCTAGACATTTCTAGGGCAGTAGCTCCACTGCTATCTGTCATTGCACTAGTGTTTTTGGATTCTGTTGATAAACGTGGATGTGTTTGGGATATGGATACAGAGCAAGAAATATCTTTATGATCTGGTGATGAATGTATTTTTGGTTCATCATCAGGAAAAGTGTAATGATTAGTAGAGGTGTTACAATTGATATTACTGGAAAAAGAACTTTTATTGTAAATAACTTTTTCATTTGCCATTATAGATTTTTCATACTCTTGTCCATTTTGCAGTCGCTGTTTACAATTAGATTTCGGTAATTCTTCAAAGCGTTGACGTTTTTGTGGTTTTAAGTTTCCATCTAACTGACTAGAGAACTTTTTGAATCGTTTTGATGATTTTTTGGATTTTGTTACGTTAGCGACATACTGGTCTCTGCTACTGCGTAAGGAACGGTAACTAGTAGGAGACATTAAAGAATTTGATTCTTTCGATATTCTACCTTTTGACTGACAACCACGTGGAAGAGAGGACAAACCTATGCAATTACTGCGACTAGAACCAGTAGTCAATTTCTTTCGCTTTAAAGGTGACATAGAGGAGGCACAGCGTAATCTCTCTTCTCGATGACTTCGGCGACTCTGAGATGAACAAGATGAATTCAAAGAAACAGTTCGTAAAACGGAGCGCCTGGATTGTTTGGTTCCACGAGAGCAGAGCTTTGGTTCTGTAGATAAGCTAGCTTTATGAATATTTTCTTCTTCTTCACACTCATCATCACCATCATGAGCAGCTTGCTCAGCTTCAAGAGCAGCTTGCTCAGCTTCAAGAGCAGCTTGCTCTTTTTTGACATCAGATAGGCAAGGACCAATGGAGTTAGGTGGTGAGCTTGCTCTGCTTAATGTGTTGCCTCCTGCTGAACTAGATGCAGGTGAGTACGATCTACAAGGGCGCATAGGCTCCTCAACTGGTGATGGACCAGACCTTGTCACACCAAAACTAGGCTTTGATGGATATTCGGAAATTTTAGGAGGCTTAATATCAGTTGGATCGTTAAACTCATACTCCGAAAGATGGTGTGGTTGTGGATTAATAGGCACATTGGTCAGTGAGTCTGTTGACGATAAATCATCGGCTAAATTACTCGGGTTAGGTCCGAAACCCTGAAAAATAAAACGGAAACCCTTGAATACATAATATCAACGATTAATTACGAATATTATACGATGTTAAGGGCATAAATCAATTTTAACAGTTAGAAATACCGTGAGTCATATATTAGTCTACGACTCCATGGCCGAAACAAAGGGAAACTATTAACAAACAGAAGCTTAATGTGGTGATAATCAGTACAATGACTCATAATTAAGAAAACCAGCTGAAAACAGAGCCAAAGTACCAAAGACATCATTGCCTTACCCTAAAATATATTACACGGATTTATGATGTTTAAGACAGTTATAAATTCTTATATGTAAGAACTAGACATATTTGAAATTTCAACCAAACTGTAAAAATATTGAACGTCACATAAAGAAGTGCCATTACGAGTTATCACATTTCACAAGGGCATACAAAGAAAAAATTGATGAAACAAAGTTAAAATAAATAATAGCACGGGTTTATGTTAGATAATTCTTGCATAATAAGATACTCAAAGTATAGGAAAGAAGGTTGAAGAATTATATACACGAACGACTGTCAATGATCTAACGCACACTACAAATCATGCAGCAAGCAAATATTAACACTAACGGAATCCAGCGGCTTATCTTTTCCAAAAGCTCTGTTCTGCTTAAATGGTCTGTCCGGTTTTCTGAGTGGTCAACAAGTAGGACTTTCGGTGTACTTCGAAAACTACCATTTGGAACTCTAATTAAACACTGACAATTCACCTGTTATCGACTCGAGAAGTATGTCCCATGTGAGCTTAACCAAGGACTGAGTGTCGACGGGGTGCGAAGTCGCACTTGCCTTTAGTGAGGAGAAAGCCCAAATAGAACAAGTTCTCATTACCGGTAGTTTATTTGCTGTAAGGCTAAAAGGTTATAACAGTGTGAAAAGAACTGACATCGGGAACTGTGCTATTTTGCAATCTACACTTATGCTTCGATAAACTAGAGCTCGGATGCAATAAAGAATAAATTACATTAACAATTACATGACATCAAAAAAGGCGTTTAACGGATATAATGGTGATAGCTGGGTACTTGGATGCAAAGGTCAGGCACTTACGAACAAAGATTTGTTTCCATAAACAATAAGAACTTACTGGTCGTAGGTTGAATAAAGAGATCACACTATCCAGACCAGAACCCACTTACAGCCAGCCTCAACTCCCAGGAGTCGTTTCCGATATACTACCTGACGTTTTCTCTCTCCCCGACTTAAACCTGGACTCAAAGTGATCACGTTGCAAAAGATTGACGATCATTTTAATGGAACAATTAAGATTCTGATCTGCTCCGGAATGCAGCCGACTAATCTATACATTTTGATGATCATCAAACTTATCATAGTAAATAGATCGACTTCCAAACATTGGCTGCACTTACGATTGGACCCAAACATTCAAGATCGAATTAATTATTTCATACGCGTCCCAAGAATGACGTTTTGGCG